AGCTTTCCCCTTCCGGCTCCCCGCTCCCCCCTCCCCTTGTGGCGGCACCTTTGTGCATACATATGTGTGGTTGGTGGTGCAGGTGGTGGTGGTGGTGGTGCAGGCGGCCCGGAGGGGTGGTGCTGAAAAGTATGCTACGCTCTGCGCACATGGCACATAATTGAGTGACAACGTGGTCTGAAACATTTGCCAGGCGGACACCGTCAAGTGCTGGCCAGCCAGAAAGGGGTGGTGGGTGGTTGGGTGGCTCGGTGGTTGAGTGGGTGGCTCAGTGGGTGGGCGGTATATTCTGGGGCTGCCTTGGCTGGCAGCTGATGCAGAGCATTTGAATTTGTAATGAGATTACACACAGACAGAGACGCAGAGCAGAGCTATATCCCTACATACATATATACACATATATAGCGAGGATACAACACCTGCTGTCTCCCCGTCTTTTTCGCTCTCAACATCGTTCTATCTCTGTCCCTTGATGGGGCAACTGTTAATTGTGGCCATAATTAAGGTGACCCCGAACCGGTTGGCCATACGCAAAACGTGACGAGCTCATTAATTTTATATGCTTTATTTGCCCTCAACTGTCCTGCAACATTTCCCATCTCGCTTTATTTGTGTCCCTTTTTTTTGCTAGTGGTGCCATCTCTATTGCTATCTCTACCTTTACTGCTATCCCCATCTCTATCCGAGTCCAAATTCAGTTTGCTTTTTCTCATTTGTGTGTTGATTTAAAACCGAGATGCATGGGACGCAAGATGATGATGGTGATGCTGATGCTGGTGATGATGGTGATGATGACTCCAGTACGTTGTTAGCGCTGTTGCTGCCACTTGGCTGCTTTATGTCATTGCTGGTTAAGCGATGCGTCTAATTTGCAGCTGCTGCCGAAGCTGGACGGCTCCTCCAAGGCCCCTTTGCCACGCCCCTCTCCCCTCGATTTGCCAGGGAAAAATTTGCATTCCGTGAAGCAGGCAAAAACGAGAAAAGAAAGTGAGAGGAGCTAGCAAAAAAGGGATGACAAGGTGCTGCGCGACTGATAAAACTTCAAATACTCTTGGATTTATTGGCTTTATTTTGTTTCAAATCTAACATGATTTCTCTACTTTTTAGCATACGCAAATTATCCAAGCTTCAAGTACTTTAAATTTCAAGCGAGAAAACTGTAAGAAAATGACTACATCTCTTTAGACTATACTCAATGTATTGGTATTTGTTGTGTTATTTCTAGAAGCATCGTTGTATTACCTGTTATGGAAATATTCAAGTCTTAAGTACCCAGATATGGTTCCAAATAACGAATGTAAAAATAATTAAACCAGGTAATGTATTATTATCTCTTGTAAGGCAAACTGTCGTTTAAAATTATGATACGCTTGACAAGGGTATAAAAACCCACACACCCGGTGGCAGTGGGTGAGAAATTGTTTGCATTTACTTTGGCTTCGTCCTGGTTTTGGTCCTGGTTTTAGTCCTGGCAAATAGTAAATGGAGGCGTCTGCCTGTTGACTGCCACCTGGCAGTGTGGCGATGCTCCGTCTCTAAACCGCGTTGCTCGTTAATTTTGCAGCATTTCCGCTAGCAATTTTCAGGCAACTCCTGCTGCTACTTCATCCTTCGTCCTGTGTTCCCTAGTTGTTCTTGTTGTTGTTGTTGCTGTTGTGTTTGCTGTTGTTGTTGCCTGCAACCGGAAATGCAGGAAACGGATATTACACGCTCCAGAAAACACACAGCGGCGGGGAAGGAGTGGTGGGTAACTGGAATAATATGAAAGAGATATGACTTTTGATGACAACGTGGATGGCGGCGTCTGCTGCCGCTGCTGCTGTTGCAATTTGATGCATTTTCCGTGTTTAGACAGCTGCCCCCAAAGTTGTCCTTAGCGCCTGGCCCTGCTTTTCCTTTATCTCCACCGCTTTACCCCCCTCCACCCACGGCTTTTCCGCTTTTCCCTGCAATTGCAACTGGAAACGCAATTGGAGCGTGCAAAAAGGAGCCAAGGAACGCGAACGAGGCGCTTTAATTGCTTAGCCCATGGAATTGTTGTCTCGCTTTTCCATTTTTCCCGCTCTTCGTTTTTTTTTTTTTTCTTTCTCGTATTTCGTATTTGTTGGCTGGCTGGGATTTTTCCTTTCTGGCTGTTCAATTGTTGGGAAAATGAAATTATTGCAAGCTGGCAGAAACGGCAAAACCAGGTCACAGCTGAAAAAGAGGATTTTGGCCAAGATGAATTGACTTTCCCTTCCCACGTTACGCCAAAATAGAAAACAAATTTGCTGTTTTGTTTTTTTTTTTTTGTAAGATTTCATTGTTTTTGTTCGGTTTTATTTTGTATTTTTTACTCTTCAGTTTTTTTTTTTTTTGCATTTTTGTTTTTCTTTATTGAACATAATAATTTGTTTTTGTTGTTGTTACTTTTAATGCTTGCTCACTTTCGCTTGTTAAATTTGTAGCTTAAATTTAATTTGAAATTTTTCTTCAACGCTCTTTCAACGCGCGACCTTTAATTACTTCCATGAAATTTAATCTTTCTGTTTAGTTATAGTGTTGTGTGAGTGTGTTTTTTTAGGGGGGAATGTGGTGTGTGTGTGTGTTTGTGTGTAAACTTATTTTGTTAGAATTGTAGCGTATTTTAAATTTAATTTTAATATGCATAAATTGTTTGCCCTTCGCCCCTCGCTAGCTAACCATTCGACCTCTCTTTTCTGCCGCTTCATCGCTTTTCGCATTATCATTTCCCGTCTTTGTTAATTATTTAATGTGTTAAATTTTCGCTTGCTTTTATCAATTTCATTGCACGCATTTTGCAAAAAAAAAATTTACATTTATATATATCTATATATATATAAATGGTTTTCGTTTAGCAATATTAATGAACATTTATTTCGTAGCTTTATCTCTTTATGTATTTTGTATTTTGTATTTTGCATTTTGTAATTTTTTATTTGTATTTTGTATTTCGTATTTTGCTGTCTTTTGCTTTTGTTGCTGCTGCTGAATAGATTAAATTGTTGTTTTTGGCTCTCATTTGTTTGTTAGTCTGCTATTTAACAATGTTGACAAAATATATATACACATGTATATCTATATATATTTCGATTATGTGTGTGTGTGTGTTTTTGTGTGTGCCTGTCTTTAGCTTTAACTTTGCCTGCGATTTTCGGCTTTATTCACTAATTTTAAAATTCCTTCTTCCGCCAGTGTAAATAATTATATGAAATAATTCTTGCCCGTGCATGAGTAAATTTCGTAAATATTTTTTGTTTTTTGTTTTTTTTGTATTTTTCCTTCATTTATAACTTTACTTTTTGTGAAGTTTTCGTTTTCATTTTGTATAAATTTAAAATTGTCAGCCATTTTGTTGTTTGTTGTCGTTAATAAAAACGTTATGTAATTTATTTATATTTATGTTATGTTTAATACAACTACCGTCTCGATCTTCCAACTTTTTTATCCTCGCTAAGTTCTATAAAAAGTGCGTAATTAAAAATTGTTGGCGTCCGCAGTTAATATTCATGTTTTCTATATTCTTTCAGTTAATAGCTAAACTTTTAATCCCATATCATATTTAGATACACACGCTTGTGTGTGCAAAAAAAAAATGTAGTTACTGCCCAGAGTGCGAGTTTTCTGCCTCGACTTTTCTATCGAGTTCAAGTTTTCCGCTTTCGCTTCATTGCATTTCCTTTAATTTGATTTGATTTAAATTCCCTTCTTTCTTTTCCGTTTGCGTGCTTAGTTGCTTTCGTATTGGGCTTTAAAAATATTTTACTCTTAGGACCGTTTTCCATGGATTTATGTACAACATTTAAATCACTAATAGTTGTAATTTTTATCGTCACCTTCGCTTTGCCCCGGTATTTAATTAACTCTCGTGGACGCAACAAAACGAAAAAATCGGAAAATAAAATATTTGCCGTTCGCGTGGATTATTATTAAATGTTTATTTAATTTTTAAATTTGCCTGGGATCCTTGTTTATTTTTTCCGTTCTAGCTGCTATTTGCATTATGCTTCTTAAATATGTACACACAGAGAGTGGAAAAATCGAGTCCGTACTAAAAGCGAATTAAGTTTGTATTTTAAGTAATAAATTTGTGGAGTTTCTTTAAATCTGCAAAAAAACGCACACGGAAAGAAAAAAGAATACGTCAAAAATCATTTGTCTTAGGTTATTTTCTTCAATCTCCAGATCAAATCGGACAAGACACAACAATTAGAGCTGAAGAAACGTCCGTATTTTTTATGTTTATCTGCAAAACAGGATGATTCTTCAGCTCTACACAACATATACATTTACGATACCTATATGTGGGTTCCAATTTTATTTGGGGGAGGGTTTCTTTCAGCTGGACTTGATTCAATTTGTATCGCTTTTGCGCTTTTACAACCGAATGTGTACGTTATTAGCCGTAAACTCTATATATACTTGAAGTATCGTTATAGTAATTGCCTTAGCTCTCGTTTTTATATACAAATCTAATCGGTAAGTGCCAGAGTGGTGCGCCATGGATGGATTGTTTGGTTTTTTTTTTTTGTTTGGTTTGCAAATCGCTCGGGAAAATCAAAGGCAGAATCTGCGGTCAATATATATAAAACACCTCATCCTGGACATACGTTGATTGGTTTTGTTTTGAGGAAGCCAATTTTTCATTTTGTGGGGGTAGACGTAAGGGTAGTAGGCTAATTTTGGACGCAATCGAAAATTTTCTCACTTTTACCTAACAAATGTAGCTAAAAAAAAGTACAAAGAACAAACAATTGAAGAGAGTACACAAAAAAACAACGAATGTGTGTAAAGACTATATTTTCATGTCGATTGTTTTTATTTGTGTTCGCTCTCGTTTCGAAATTAGCAGGCGGTGCAGCATGGCGTATGCGTGATATTTGTGGATCGAGAACAAAAAACGATATCGCCGCCTTTCGCTTGGATAAGTTTTGCATATTCCGCTTCCGTTGGCGGATATATGTGTAAGTTTATATATATATAAAATGCCTTTTAATATGTTTTTTTTGTTTTGTTTGTTTATTTATTATTATTTTCTGTGGCTCTTAGCAGCGTTGATAATTTAGTTGTTGTTTAGATTTTAGTTAGCGTTTTTTGTTAGTTTAGCTACAAATACATATGCGTGTGTGTACTAAAATATCTCGTATCCGCCTTTTGCTTCACTTCCGTTTCCTGCTCCGTTTTCCTCTGCTTTCTCTTTTCTTCTCTATTTATCAGCTTTATTGCCTTGGCATTGTCCTTGCTTGGTTACCTTGTTTATGTGTGTGAGTGTCTGTTATAATGGGGTGTGTTTTTTTGGAGTGTGTGTGTGTGGGTTTGTCACAAAGAACTAACGCTATAATTAAAAATTGGCTTTCTGCTTTCTCTACCATTTTTCTCCATTTTGGCCGCTTTAGTTTCATCATTTTCTCCCTTCATTTGCGTTGCGCAGCGTTTTTTTGTTGTTTGTTTAAATTTTTATGAGAACTTTTGCTACGTTGGTATTATAATGCATGTGGAATTAGCTTTAGTTTTAGATTTACTTTTAGATTTATTAACTGCTTATTGCGTTTTATAAACACTAACTTCATTTGTCTTATTTCAACTACTTACTTAAGCCGCCAGCTTCATCCTCTTGCCTTCTCCTCCGTCGCCTTCTTCTGGTTCTGCCTTCTGCTTTTGCCCTCCTCCATTTTGCCATAACTTAACATACATTTCGTTAATACTAGTAAAAAAAATGTTTTCATCTTCTGTTCTGTTCTGTTCCGTTCTCTTTTTTTTTTGTTACTTTTTTTCGACTGGCTTTTATGGGCCAAACACACACTAATGCACAATTAATACTAGACAAAAAAAAACATAGTTTCGCTTACTAGCCTAAAGTTGTAAAGGTCTATATAGAAAAAAACCGATCCTCCCTCCGTGCCGCTTTTGTTTTAAGTACTTCGTAGTTGCTTTGCGATCGCTTCCATATTTTATTTCCGTTTCCGTTTCAGTTTTCATTTCCGTTTCTGTTTCCATTTCCTTGGCCTCTGTTAACTGGCGAGTCGGGGGGTTTTGGAATGCCCAAGTGTCCAAACTTAGTAGCGCTGCTGGTACTCGTGGTGCCAGCGGTTGAAGTCGATGTGGAATACTATGATCGAGCCCGTCGAGAGTCCGGCCAGAAGGTATCTAGTAAGTTGGCAGAGACGAAAGGGGAAGAAAGGAAGAAGAGCGGGGAAAAGAAATGGTTAAATACGGATAAAACCATAATGTATTATTAAAAGCAATAAATTGCCTAAAATAATAATTTGAAAGCTTTAAAATGATTCTCTTTATACCAAAATGTTTGGCACTCTTGAAAATTTTTCAAACTATATTCTTAACTAAATTATATTTTAGTATTTTTTTATCGAAATAGCTTTTAGTTTAATACTTTTAATATGCATTAACAAATACGCTAAGATAAGAAGAGTGCTATTTTGGGAATCAAATATTATCCTTAAACATTTCAACATTAAATGATTAATGTGAAGAATGCGTTTTCGGGGATTAAAATATGTAATTTAAGGGAGCTTTTTTCAAGATTTCACTTACTTCTGATCGTGGGTCAAGGCCAAAGATCGGATGCCCGCGTTGCAGGCGGGGAAGGCATAAAGTGGTGCTAGGTTGAAGGTGCGCCACACCTCCACGATGCCGCGATCGCCGGCGGTCATCAGGTATTCGCCATCGCGCGACAGCAGCATGCACTGCAAAATTGAGGGGCAAGAAATGACAGTTTTTTGCATTATAATTATGAAATAAACTTATGATTAAGAACCAAAGAATCTGGAAAATTTGTAGATAGAAAGAACTGGGGAGGCAAACCCACCTGTAGATTGTCGTTGTGCGTCTCGTGGCGCAGTTTCTTGCCATTGATGGTGTAGGCGGCCACGTTGCCCTTGTCGTAATTGATGACAATGAAGCCCTCGCGGGACATGGTGATCAGTTCCGGGGAGTGGAACTCCGCCGGTGGATCCAGGGAGCGCAGCAGGTCGCCAAAAGTGGTGTGGATCAGTACGGGTCCGTCTGGAAGTGGAGAATTGACTTAGTGCCCCGACTTACCAATTGAATACCCCCGATGAAAAACACTCACTTGACGATCCGGAGACAACCAGACCCAATTCGGCACTGATCACCACCGAGGTCACCGCCTGTTCGTGACCCGTCAAAGTGGCCCGTGGCGTGGGCACATCGCCCTCGCCCACAATGCTCTGGGTTCGGGCATTCCAGTGCCACAGGAGCACCGTGCAATCCGCCGACCCGGAGGCTATGTAGCAATCCGAGGTGATGTTGCACTCGGAACGGGCCATGCACGTCACCACTCCAAAGTGACCGAACACAATCTGCACGATTTTCGCTGGAAATAGAAAAAAAGTAGGTGCTTTAGAAAACTAAATTAAAAAAGTAGGTGCTTTAGAATCCTAAATTAAAAAAGAATAAACAAACTGAGACCATTAAGCGATTAAAGCTGGATAACTACTTTCTCCACTACTATTTATTCACAATGAGATACGATAATATCTTTAAATAATATTCAATTAACTGCCTTGAGTATTATTTTAAATTTATTTATACTTAAATTAAGAACTAATTTAAAACTTCTCATCATTTAAATAGCTTTAAAGCCAGACAAAAGAAACATTGACATTGCATATATTTAAAACAAATTTTGTATTATTTTTTTGCTTCAATAACATTTTAACTAAATGAAAGTTGAAATATGACTGTTGTACTGATTTGCATATAAAATGAAGTTACTTTTTAATGCTAACAAAGTGTTTTATCTTGACCAAAGCAAAGGAAAAATCGTTGGAAACCGAAACAAAAATGTTTATCCTAATGGGGTTAAGGAATCCCAGATGTAGGCTGCCAAACTCACCCGTTTCGGTGGCGAAAACGCGGAAACTATTGTCCCAAAATCCGCAGGCGATCAGGAACCGGCTGTCCACCGTGGTGACGAAGCAGTTCGATCGGATCTTGAGCATCTGGCTGAAATTGTCGCCCAGATGGCGTCGGCTGACCGCATTGCTATTGTTATTGGTGCCATGGACAGCTGGAAAGGGGAGGATTAATTGGGGAATCGGTCATGTAGCATCGGCCAAAGAAACTTACCCAAAACCGGATCGATGGTGAGCGGTTGATTGGAGCCCGGCGATTGGGGCGACTCGGCGTAGCTGGGACTCTGGACGGAGGCCGTGTAGTTGCAGTTCCATCGATTCACGGCGAACTGGTGGCCCGCCGTTACGGTGACCACCGATGGCAACGAGAGCTGCGGATACGTGTTGGCCGAAATGTGAATGACCGGCGAGTTCTGGTAGAACTTGAGCATCTGGCACAGATCCTCCGGCATCGCACTGAACATCATCGGCGACAGATGCATGGCCGAGCTGCGCGGCGGATGTGGCTCCATCAGCAGTTGGCTGGGTGTTTGGCCAAAGTTCCGGATTTGATTCTCCACCGCTTCGCGCATTACGGGATCCAGGACACCATCCAGATCCACGCTGCCCTCGTACGTCAAGTAGTAGAACACATTGGTGGCCCTAATGGCCTCGGGGCCACGTTGCTTATAGCCAAAGATCAGATCGATCCACTGATGCAGTTGGCAGGACACGAATTCCGACTCCAAGGCCATGCGATTGATGCGCACAAACTCCTCGGGACTCTTGGCCCACGGCGGCAGTTCGATGTCATCCACCAGAGCGCCATCCTCGCGATGACCCAGCCGATAGCCCGACGAATTGTAGAACATCTCGGGCAGGAAATACCACTCGGGTATCAGCTCCTTCACATCCGACGTGTCCCGCTGGCAGTTCTTCCACGACAGCGACACCGAACTGAACAGCCTGTCCGGATAGTCGAACTTGCCGCCCTGCAGGGCCAGGAACATGGTGGTGAACGGTTCCACCCGCACCAGCCAGTTGAGGGTGAAGGCCGCCGTGGAGTAGTGGGTGCCGTAGTGGAAGGGCGGAATGGTGTCGCTGTCCCAGCTCTCGTAGCGCTCCTCGAAATAGGCCCTGCGCGACGGATTTAGGGCGCCAATCGGCTTCGACAGATCCCTGTAGTTGGAGGGCAGGCTCAGGTCCAAGTCCTTGGACTCGTAATTGGTCAGCACCCAGGGGAAGATGGGATACTGATTCAGGTCGTTGTACGTCCTGCCAGCGATCGTGTTGAGGAACATTAGATACTCAAAGTTGCTGATCTCGCGGCGCTGCCATTTCTGGGTCATGTTCGAATTGCGCATCAGTTGGCGGGGCGACATCATGGATGCGCGACGGGTCTGTGGTATCCCGTACTTAATGCCCACTCCCACGCGCGGCAGGGCCTTGATCACCTTCTTCACCGTATGCTGGTCGGGGAAGGCAAACAGTATGGACGTCCTGCTGGCCAGGAAGATCTCCAGGGCCACATTCTGCAGGAGATAGCGCCTCGAGAAGATGGCCCTCACCTCAGAGAAGTACCACTTGCCGTGCAAATGATCGCAGTACTTGAGCACCTCGCCGTCGATCTTTTGGAACTCCGGATGCTCCTCATCCACCTCGAAGAACATCTCCGTGCTGGTTATGGAGACGGTGCCGGGTGCCACCAGGCCGGGGGCTATCAATCTCGCCTTGGTGCTTATGTTCACGGGACCCGTGAGATCCAGATCCAACTCCCGATCCTCGATCAACAGCTCCGCATCGTCCAACAGCTCGCCATTGTGCTGACCCGAGGGATGTGACCGCGACACGGCAATCTGGGTGTGGAACTCGTCGCGTGTCTGCAGGATGGCATCCTCGGGTCCACCGTTCTCCAGAGCAGCCTTCAGCGTTGCCTGCGGATGCGAGGAGCCCCGCGGATTCTGCACCATCCGTTTGCGACGTCGGGCATCATCCTCCCAGGCATCCAGTTTCCAGTACGGACTCTTCTGCACCGCTCCCACGATGGCGCCGCCACCCGAACTGGCACTCGAATCGCCCCAGGCTCCATGGCGATTGCACATGATGTTCCTCACCTTCTCCAACAGGCGACTGGCAATCACATTGTCCCGGCGACGGGCAGCGGTTATCAAATGGTCGCACATCCGCTCCTCCTCCCGTCGCTCCAGAAGCGTTTGGGCGCACTGCGACTCAAAGTCGGCATGCTTGAGGACATCGTCCGCTCGCATCCGGTTCAGGATGAACTCCGCCTCGTTGGCCACCCGCACAATGTGATCCTTCATGGCATGCGAGAGCAGTCGCCCCTCGTTGATCAGCTCGATGAAGGCCAGTCCAGCGTGCTTCTGCAGGCTGTTCTGCCATTCCTGGGAGCAGAGCAGCATTACCAACTCCACCACCGAATGGGAGTTCTTGAAGGTCGTCAGACCCTTGCCCTCCATCAGCAGCTCCTGGCCGTGGGAGCCAACTAGGGTTTTGGACAAGAAGGGTGCGAAGTCCACCATGATTTCACGGAGCAAAGGACACACCGGTCCCAGTGCAATCTCCAGTTTCTGGGTGAGACTCGCCTCGCGAGAGGGTGTGGTCAGCGGCAGTTGGGCCACCAAGGCAGGAGCCTTCATGGGCAGCTCCTCGGGACGCGGACGCTGATTGGGCGGAACACCCTGACCCTGGCCGGGATTCACACCGGAACCGGCACCACCATAACCATCGGGTACACGCACCACCGAAATTTCAGAATCGGGCTTATCACCCCGCTCTGAATGGCCAAGTGATCCATGCTGTTGGCCAATAATCCCCGCCTGATGTTGCTGCTGCTGCTGTTGTTGTTGCTGGTTGTGATGCGATGGATCGTGTTTGTCCGATATAACATTACCACCATTATCCACCAGGCCCACAACCATTCCGGCACTGGCCGCCTGAACGGCTGCATCCTCGTTAAGATTCACATCCGTCCAGCTTTCGTCGTTCGAGTGGCTCGGCTTGTGGTCATCGATGAGGATCTCGCTGGAGGACTCCACCTCGGGCACCTCGTTCTCCGTGGAGTTCATGTTGAGCGAGCCCACATCCGAATCCACGCTCTGCGATTTAAGTGGGGTGGGGGGGTTTTTGTTTGGGAAAGAAATATGAAAATAAGTAGGCAATCAAAATATGCATGGATTTCGGTAGAAGAGCAATCAAGTGAGTTCCCACTTTCGGACGGGGGTTTATCTCTACAACACTCAGCAAAATATTATGCAAGTATGATAGTGAAATTTTAAAAATCATTAATGTCTCGGCATTATTTAAAGTGTGATTTGTTTTGGTGAAGTTTAAAATAAAAATTACATTTACGAATATTGAAAAACAATTTCTAAAATACGACGTATATTAGTGGTGAGAGCTAAGGTGATTTGATTTCTTCAAACTAATGTACATATATGTATATGTCCAATTGCATATCGTTTTAGGTGTTAAGGCATATTTATCATTAAATGTAAATCAAAAAATTAGCTTATTTATTTTCATGTTAAAAATAATTTTTTTTTTGTTTTAATTTGATTATTTTTCCAGTGCACTCTCTCTCACTCTTTCGCTTTTTGGTGTGCGTGGGCGTGCTGATGTATGCTGTGTTTGTGTGGGTTTTGATGTGTGCCTATCATTTGCACATTAATTATGCACATTGGACTATAAATCAAAATTCCCAAGCAGCGCTGACCCCCCTGCGTCCGTTTTGTCAACACATGCATTTGTCATCAACTCGAACCGGGATCACCCCCCCCCCCACCCCATCCCTCAATCCCCCAACCTGTTTCCCCTGTTTATTCAACAACTGTCACTCATCGGCGTCCATTGCGGCGACAGTTTGTCAAGTGATTTGCATAAAAGTAGTCCAGATTCCCTCGAACCCACAGATTTTGGGAGAGGACAACAGGACATTAGGCTAGCGAAATGGAACGCACCGAAATGGAACGGTGCGGAATGGTGTGGAATGAAACACGCATGGCATATGACAAATTTTGTTAAGCGTTTGACAAATGTCAGCTGTCAGACACCAACACGAATGTCGGCTATAGGCGTGTCCGTGTGTTCGAGTTGTCCGCTCAAGGGAGCGATGTCCTACATCAGGGGGTTCTAGGGGGTTTTTGAAGGGGTGGTTTAGGGGGGAGGGGGCTTAGAACTGCCAAAAACCCAAACCCTGGGACAGCTGTTGCGTGTGGCACCGGCTTGTCATCAACACGAAATCAATCGCCTTTGTTTGCCCTCGATTTCCGTGCGGTGTCCGTATCCCTGGTTGGGCACCCAGAAATTCCAATTTCTCTTAACCCAACCCCACTTTTGCCCACAAAACCCATGCCTCATTTCGGGGTCTCCAATCTTGTCAACTGTGATATATGCACGCATTCATTAAGGGGGGAAGGGGGAGGGAATGTACGTGAAAAGGGAGAGCTAAAGAGCGAAAGAGAGGTAGCATTGCACTTAGCACTCACCCGCTCACACACAAGCGACAGCTAATCACTAGTGTGTGTGTGGGGGGGAGGCATAAATAATGCGAGTGTAGTAGTTCATTAGGGTGTTTGGGGTGTGGGGTTTTCAGGGGTTTACCCCAAAAAAGCGATAAAAGCCAAGAAGTGCTCTATGTGAGAGTGAGACTAAGTGTAAGAGTGTGTGTTTTACAGCTATGTATCACTAATTGCACAAGACATACGCAGACATTAACATATACAAACACAAATGGGATAAATCACGAGCACGCACACACAGAAACACACACAAATATGTATACACAATGATGCATACTTTCAGGCGCCACAAGGTGGTTTTAGTAGCATTTTGGGTGTTTGGGTGTTTGGGTGGCTGGGTACGACTCATTAAGTGCTTTGATTTGTCGGAGAAGATTACAAAATGAAACATGGATCCAACTTAATTGCCAACTCATGGCCCAGAAATCAATGAAACACATTTAAATGTCAAGTCAAATCTTAAACAAATGTGGAAGCCAACAATCACAGCGATTGGATAATATTACTTAATACATCGTTACGTTAATTATTGGCTTTCGGCTTAAGTCATGAGTTTACTTTATTGAAATTGATATTCTTTTTATGATTCTTTATGGAAATAATACGTACTTAAAGCAAATGAACAATAGCTAAGTTTGAAGAATAGTTTTCTTCCATCCACATTTTTTAGGTTTTTAAATAAAGATATTGTGAAATTGAAGCAATTGGATTAATCGAGGTCACACGTTGGTTATATTTTAATTTCTTCTATAACACAATGTTTTGTCCACTTATTTATTGTTATTGTATAATATTAATTGGATTTGACCAACATTTTTGTACATAAAATTACAAATACAACACAAAAATGTGATAAGCTGCCTATTAAACGTTTAAAAAATAAATTTTAATGATGATTTTGCAATCGTTTCTAGAATATCAAATTCTGGCAACCAAATTACAGACAAATATATCAAGTATAAACAATGGCTACAGGCAACAAATGTGCGACAGCAATTAGAGCTCAACAAAAAAGCACACAAAATCAAAACGCAATGAGTGGCGAGAAATGAAAAATAAAACCGAAAAGTGAGTATACATTTTCAATATTCAGATATTTCGGGGGTTTTTTGAGTGCGTCAAATGTATTTGTAGCTGTACGTGTGTGGGTGGTTCAGTGTTGTTTTTTTTTTGTTTTTTTTTTATCACAGTGGTGCAGTGGGTGGGTTTTTATTTTTACTGACTGTCGAAAGCTGTTGTTGTTGCTGTTGCAGTTGCAATTATTATTGCAGATTTTTGGGATCTTTTTTACCTTTGGCAATTTTTGTGGCACCAACGGCTTGGGTGGTGACAATGGTTGTTGTTGAATTTTAATTGTTGTTGTAGTTGTTGGAGCATTTGCTGTTGTTGTTGTTGTAGTCTTAGTGTTGTTGTTGTTAATATGGGTTGTTGTTGTTGCTGTTGTTGTTGTCTGGTTGGCCTGTGACATTTTTCGTTGTGATTGATTTGCATACAAATAATTTAGTTTGGTTGCACATGCAAATGAAGTTTAGTTTTTTTGTTTTTGGCATTTAACTTATGATTTAAGTCTAATTGAGGATGCTCATACTCGCACACACAATGTTGCAACACTCTTACATGCAACGCTCTCTTACACACACACTTCTCAACAAAAAAAATGTAATTCTATGGCAATTCTCTAGTGATTTTAAATCACTTTAAAAATTAGGTTCCAACAAAAATGCTTACTTTGAGACACTAGTTTGTTGTAACTTTTAAACATAAATTAGCTTTATAGTAATTAGATATACCAACTCACCTTTATGGATGGGGGTCCACTGGAATGTGAATCATTATCCGCCAAGACGGATGGATTGTTCTCATCGACAACAATTATTTCATAGTCACTATCCTGAATTTGACGACCACCTGAAAAAGAAAACACAGAAAAAGATGCAAGAAAGAGAAACAAATATATTAATTTTTTTGTCTATTTAATATTTTAGTTTTAAATTTTTCAAATATGTTCTTTGCTTTTGCAGTTACAATTACAGTACTAGAGTAGAAATCTGTAGAATTTACTTTACGAAGCTGTAGAAGAACTTAAAAAGTAAAACCAAATAAGAAAACAAGAACACAAAATAAAAACCAACTTAAGCTCACACACACAAAGGTGTTTTAGAGGATTAAGCATGGGGTGCACAGAAAAACAATATGAACCATTTCTTAGATTTCTTTTCTTGGATATTTCAATCTAGAACCAATGGCAATGAAGTAAAATCTGTGTGAGAAATTTCATTTATTATTCCCACAATTTTTCTGTGTAGCTAAGAGCTCATAATTTGTAAGATTTTCCTGGACTTGGCTCCCTGGCTTTTATCTGCAAATTAACCTTGTTCAACTGTTGGCCATGTCCTGATCTGGCTTAATTGAAATTTATGATTGTCCCGCAGACACGTGCTCTCTGTCTCTGTCTACAAGCACTCGGTCCATCTCTTTCGCCGGCCCTGTTAAGTATGCTACACTTTTGTGCACTCGTTTTTCGCCCCCACCCCCTTATTTAATTTTCTGTTTTTTTTTTTTTTTTTTTGGTTTAATTTTGCAATTATTTTCATGCACTGCCACGCCCTTACTCGCCACTCACACACACAGATGCAGAGAGAGCTGGCCGCAAATTACTTTTGTACAGAAGTCGGAGCGTGTTATCGGCTCCAACAGTTGTACAAACTGTTTTCCCATTTTTCCATTTTTTTTCTGTGTTTTTCCCTTGTCCTTTCATAAATTATCCCAAAGTTTTTCCCAGTCTGTTATGTTTTATTTTTTTTTATTTTTTTGGTATTTTTCGGTGAGACTAATTTACATTTTTGTCGCTGCCATTAATTTCGTAATGGAAATGTTGTTGTTGCAGCACGCTGTGTTAAAAGGATCTATGGTCAGCGTCCTTTGATTATTGCTTTAACGTTCGGTTGGAAAATTTTATGCAAAAAACGAAAAAAAAATGGTTGTGTTTTCTAACTATGAGAATTAAATGAACTGTTTTAGCTTAAATACTGAAGGTTATTTTCGAGTTTTTATAAAAATAAGTATTTTAATGGTATGAATATTTACTTATTTAATATTTCAAAAGTTTCAATTGTTATATTATTAACTTATAATCAGTTCAAATAAGATTTCTTTCATTATAACTGGAAAAATAAGTTATTTAAGCTTTATCCTATTTTCCATCTGTTCACAGGGTATTTCTTTCATTCAGATTGAAATAAAAAGCAATTCGCTTTCAATTTTTTGGGCTTTCCCATTTTCTTTCCCTTGGACTTTTCCCTGACCATGTCCAATGGCCATTTTTACAATTTTTAAAATGCAGGCGTGCCGAATGCCGTTTTATGGCCTGTCTGCGAAATGTTTTATGCGCACTCACACTTGCCCCCGCACACACACACACACACACACACACATAAAAGAGAGAGAGAGAACCCTGTATGAATGGCAAATTGTATAATTTTCGTGTAATTCATTTTCATAAAATGTAAAATTAACGAATTATGTTTCATTGCCGGTGGGGAAGTTTGGGAGGTTTCGGGGGTGTGCTCAACATTTTCCAGCTTTCACTCTGCCTATGTGTGTGTGTATGCGTGTGGCCTGTAAGTGTATTGCAAATGAAGATAAATGAAATGGATTTTTGCTGACAGCACAAAAATGACAAGCAAAAGAGAAAGAGGGAGAAAGTCCTAGAGCCCCGAACGTGTCAAAAAATTTCTAGCTGTCACTGTGTGCATGTGCGAGTTTTACAAAGATAGATTGCAGTTTTTAAAAGCATATTTGGATACCGTTGTGCGGCCCAGAAATTTCGGGCTAGCCATTACACCAACTTTGCCATTTTCCCCACACATTAGAAGCCAGAAACCCAATTAAAAACCTTTTTTCGATTACTCAATTAAATGTTGGTATCTCCAATGCGAGACATAAAATCAAAATGAAAAGTTTCCTAACTAGAAAGGAGAGATGGTTGTCAAATTTCCGAATTACAAATAAAAATTGATGGTGCAATGTGCAGCAGAAAAATGAAAAAGAAATGGATAAATCATCAGAGAAAACTGCTGTGATCAAGCAGATTAAATGGGGTAATTATTTACTTGATGCGCTGAATGCGAGGCGATTAAGTAAATTCACAATAAAAAATATTTTTTATAGCTGGCGCCTAGCAAAGCTAATAACAAACTTTTTCAATTGTTTTATATATATTTTTCTTTAAATTTATATTTTAAATTGGAGCGAAGGTGTATATATTTGTTAAACCAATTAAAAACCAAACAATAGGAGGCCAAAAATGAAAATTCTCTTACTCCCTGAGGTATGAGTGTGTGTTTGTGTCCGATATATAATATACTTATATACAACCAACAACACAAACCCATACCAAAATCACACACAGTCACACATCCAACGAATAGGTAAAAAGTAGCAGAAAGAGTTGTCTTACAATATTTACATAATTCCATGTCTCAGTACGTTTCAGTGTGTTTTATGTAGGGGAAGGTTTTATATGTACACAAATCTATATATTGTTAAACGTAGAGAAGGTCAGCTATTTATACACACACATCTACGAATACGGAAAGTCAAGGAAATGAAAGGCAAGTGAAACGACAAAAAAAACAAAACCAAAATCGAAAACAAATTAAATCGTAACGAATCGCAAGGAAAGGCAAGAAAGTGAGCAAAATTCTAGCAGCTAAAAGAGAAGTAAAGCCATGTTCCACTGGTATATTGACACTTTCCATTGAAAAATCAAAAGGTAATACTAAAACATTTACATTTCCATTGCAAACATTGAAATTTGATTAGTTTTTATCGCTCTAAAAGATAATTGACTTTGTATAATGTAACTTTGAATTCATTTTCTTATTTATAGAAATTTGTTGATGTTTTATTTGGTTGATTGAAAAGCGCCTCTCAAATTCAGTTAATAAAGGTTATTTAAAATTGTTGATTTTTCAATGGAACATGGCTATTTAGCTAAGATTTACAGATATTTAGATACAGATTACAGTTTACAGATACATATAGATAGTTGGGCAGTAGTGCGAAGTTTTAACTCTATAAACTCTACGACAGTCGAACGAGCGATACCTGTTCCAGCGGATGCGTTGCGTCCATTGTAGCGATAATTATTATTTATAGCGCTCGTCTTGTAGGCCACGCCTCCATCCAAGCCCCCTGCCACGCCCCCAATGCCCACACCCACGCCCATGCCAACACCAACAGCATTTGCATTCACAGTTCCCGCGTTAGCAACACCTTGGGTTCCCGGCGACGACGATGACGTTGCTCCGCCATTCCTCAAATTTCGCATGTTGTTCATCAGACTGGAATTGTTGTTATTACCCGTTGCACCGGAGCCATGTCCATTCATCAGTCCCACTGCCTGATAGTCCGAAATGCCATTCTGCTGTGCCGTCGACTCGCCATTTCGCATATAACCATGCGGATGTGGATGAGGATGCTGATGGTATCCCGCTGCCGATCCATTTTCCGCGTAATGTTTACCATTCAGTTGCTGATGCTGCTGGTGTCCATTGATCAATCCATAGTGCGGCTGATGTGGATGGTAATGTTGCTGCTGTTGCTGCTGCTGCTGTTGCTGTTGCTTGTGCAACTGGCGATGCGATTGCTGCTGACTCTGGGATGCCAAGCTGGAGAGCGAGGAACTCGAGGCTGGCTGGGATGTGGCCGTGGAGCTGGCCGAAGAACTGGTGGAATGTGTGGCCAAAGGAGTGGGTGAATGTTGTTGTTGGGTGGCAGCAACTTGCTGATGTTGCTGCTGTTGCTGGTAGTAAGCAGCAGTCATGTGATGATGGCTATGATTATGGGCAACCTGCTGCTGCTGCTGCTGGTAGTAGTGCTGCTGTTGCTGTTGCTGTTGCTGCTGCTGCTGCTGGTGTTGCATGTTGCTGTTGTGGTTCTGGTGCGATTCGGGCAGGAATTGCGGGTAAACATGATGCGACCATTGGGGAAACAAAGGACGCGCACTGGCGGCTTCTAGAGTTTTTAATGGTTTTTTTGTTTTATCATATTTACACACATATTTAAGGGCGGGTTGTGGCAAAGGCGAGGTATTCGTTGTTTTTCCGTTTTAATGAATTTTGTTTTGTTTTTTTCGTTTTGTTTTAGTTTATGTTATTTTTTGTACAATAAATCCGAAAAAGCAGCGTGAAATGAAATCATCGGTAAACGGAACAAAGAAAAGGAAACATAAAACCGAATAGTATCTCCAAAAATGGACAGACATGAGATATTTTTGTGTTCTTAATAGCTAGTGATTATATAAATATATGCATATATATATATAGATATATATATATAGTAATAAAAAGGGCGGGAGTGGGCTGGTGGGTGGGGGTTTTTTGGGTGGTGTATGGAGTAATGATGTGGGAGAGGTGATTTATTTTTCAAAAGGGAGCACACACACGCACATGGGAGGAGTTCTAGAGGGGACTTAAGGTGGATCCAGTGGTTAAAGTGCGGTGGTTTGTGGGGTTGTTGGTCAAGGGCTTTAAGGTGGATCGAAAAATTCTCATCAAGTGGCAACTACCATTTAAAAAACTCTTTTTTCAGCTTTTCAAAAAACAGAACACAAAACCAAAAGCGGAAATAAGCCGAAACCGAGATGATAAATGGAACAAATTGATAAAACAACAATAAAATCAATTAAATATACATATATAGGAAATATATATAGTTAATATAAAACAAATCCAGTTAGACTAGCGGCCGAATTGAAAACAGAGCCAAAAGGATTTAAACCATAAACGAGCGTGAAGTTTTTGGTGCAGCAAGAAAAGGGAAATCAAATCGAAAACGAAACGAAAACGGAAAACGAAACGCAACCGAGGAACACAAGTGGAACAAACCGAAACGGAACACGAAATGAGAATGAAACGGAAAGACTGCCGCCGGCAGAAGTTCGTGTTCCCCCTTCCAGAATAGATCATCTCTAGTAATGGGTATAATATAATATTATCTATGGCATTTCCGGGGACCGATTCCGACCAGAGTCGGCCAGTTTCGGGGGTATAAATCGGAGGGTCCATGGGATAATTGGGTGCCACTTACCGCCGCCCGCCGTGCGCTGCAGCACTGGCGATTGACGCTGGATCTGCGGCTCTGCCGGCGGCTCCAGGATATCACGGTACTTGGACACCATCAGCACCGATATGAAGTAGACGATCGCCAGCGACAGGAATTGCGCCTGCTTGGTCTCCTCCTGGAATGGTAGAAACAAAAAGCAATATTAGGATTGGAACAAAAAACATCTTAAGGATTGGCTTGTTTAATACTCCTTCCGTTTTAAAAATTATAAAATATAAATTAAAAATTTTAATTATGGTAAATATTAAATTAAATATATATTCTATCAAAAATCGCTATCATAAAAGTTAACAATTTTAAAATTTGGATGTCAACAATTTCTTTTAAATTTTAACTATAAAGAACTTCATTTTTAAATTTTGAAAATTGATATACATTGCAATAATATAATATTGCAATTAGAAAAATTAAACTTCAAAATTAAAAAAATCTTCAAACTACGCTTTAATAGTTAAAAATGAGTCCGAACAATTAAATTATACACTCACCACATCGCGATAGATGACGGCGCGCAGGCGATTGACGTCCATGTCCTGGAGCAGCTTCTCCGGGTCCTTGACGGGCGATAATTGACCGGTGATTGACTCGACAATGTTCTGTTCAAAAAGGGGCTTTAGAGGAGGAGCCGAGGATGGCTGTTGTGGGCGGGGATTCCTTACCTTGGGCGATGCCTGTGCGCCGCGGATGAGGGCCTGCAGGTGCGCCGCTCCCGGGACATCTCTGGCCAGAGCACCCACATTGTAGCGCGTGCGCTCCTTGCACTCCAGGCAATTCCGCACCGCACAGGTGCACACCAATCGCAGGCACTGGCGCAGGATGCCACCACTGGACATGTTCTTCTCCGCCTCCAGCTCACCGAAGTTCAGGGAGGTGGCGAAGATCAGGACATCGGCCATGTTGACCAGACGCTGCAGGAAGGACACGGCCACCTCCAAGGGCATGCCCTGCGTGGGCTCCAACACATCCAGTTCGGACTGTGGAGGAAAGCAAGGCTCAGTGTTTCCGCATGGAATTACAATTATACTTAATTTCCCACCCACTTATTTGCTTATTTATATGTTTTTGATTAAAGAGTGCATACTTCTACAGTATATATTTATACCATAAAGTATAGAGCATATCTGTAAGAAGTTTGTTATTAAATACTCTAATAATTTGAAATTAAAAACTTCCGATTGGCTGTTAAAAAGTGACCTAGAAACAATGAACCGATATCTAAGAGACCTATATTTACAAGTTTGCGAATTAATTTCCTATGAATATGATGTTTAACCTTATCTTTTTGAACTATTTTCATGTTGGGTGTAATATTATATGGGGGAATCGAATAAGAGCTTAAGATGCTCATAAAGTCGAGTAATTTTAATGACCCCATTTTCAAGGACTATGTACTCACATTGGGCGACGTGGCACTGGCTAATAAAGGCAGTAATCCTCCACAGGCGATGATCAGGTTATCGGCCAGCTGCGAGATCAGGTGCACCGTGTTCACCACAAAGATGGCATTCTCGCTGGAGTTGACAAAGTCGAGGACGCTCTTGGTGGAGTGACTGCGCCACACCTGGATGTCCGTCTCCAGCGAGAAGAGCACATCGCTGAGGAGTCGCTGATGGATGTAGGACCACTTGAATTCCGGGATGCGGAAGGGTGGACGCGTCGGTCCGGGACTGAACATGGGTCGCGTGGATCCCGATTTGGAGCGCTGTTGCGGCTGCTGTTGCTTGGGTTCCGGATTGCCGGGGCCATAATGATTGGCCTCCATTTGGCTGGCACTCTCGGCTCCCGATGCCGCCTGCTGACTGGAGTACTCCTCGTCTTCGATGGCGATTCCGCTCGATGTTTGGATCTGGACATCTTCCTCCTGGATCACCTGTTGCACCTCCTCAACCATTAGATTGGCGCCCGCCTCGTTCTTGGGCGTAGTCTGGGTGGTGGAGTCCACTTCAGTGGGCTTTACACGCACTGGTGTCACAGATGTCTCCTTGGCCAGGATCTGTGGAGATTGCTCCTCGGGGGCGGGCGAGGTCTGGGTGGTTTGCTCGGCGGCCACGGCCTTGACTGTTTCATCGACCAGAGTGTCTAGGACTTGGTTGACGATGGTCACCACATGATCATCGGTTTTTTGGGCCAGCTCTTCGGGGATTTCCAGGGAGTTGGGAACATCAGGTTCCTTGATTTTTGATTCCTGAAGTTCTTGGGACTTGGAATCTTTAGGTTCCTCTACAGGCACCTTGCTCTCCCGATCCTCAGTTGCAGCTGGCTTTTCCTCCAGCTGCAACAGATCGTCTTCCTCTGGCTTTCCTTTTTCCTGTTCCTGGGATTTCACTTCCCTTTCCGGTTCCTCCGAAGTACCCTCCTCCTGAACCGAAACGAGGGCGGCTTCCACCACTTCCTGGACAATTTCCTCGGCGGCAGCGGCCAAACTCTCTGGAGTTTCCACTTCTTCGGGCTCTGATTTCGATTGCTCATCTTTGGGTAGCTCATTGTTGTTGGTCTCCGTTTTGGTTTCGCTGGCCGTTTCCGCTTCTGTGGCATCGATCACCTTGTCGATGAGTTGCTCGACTATGCCTCGAACGGCCAAAGCCACTGGGTCCTCTGCTCCCGTTTCCGTTTCCGGTACTGCTTCCGCTTTCGTCACTTTCACTTCCGGCTTGGATTCGGTGTCCGAGAGCTGGAGAAGATCGGCTTCTGGCGTCTCCACAACAATGGGCTCGGGACTCGCACTGATCTCGGCCAGCTTCTCGTTGTTGTTCAGCTTGTTGGCTGCATCTTCAGTCTTTTGATTGGTTGCTACTACGGGGCTGGGGATTAATGGGCTTGGCTTGGCCGCTTCCGGGGATTCCACTTCTGTCGCGCCCGTTTTTGTTTTTGTTTCGGTTTTCGTTTCTGATTCTCTCTCTGCTTCTGCTTCTGTTGCTGTTTCCTCCTTGGGCGCCACGATCTCGTTGGCATTGACCTCCGTTTCGACTTCCGTTTCCGTCGTCGCCGTCGTTGTGGGCGTGGGACTCGGACTATTGTTATTGTTATTATTATTGTTGTTGAGCAGATTCTTGCTGTTCAGCAGGCTAACATTCACATCCTGCCCGACCTGCTGCTCCTTGTTATCCTTCTCCTTGTCCGCTTGCGATTTCTTCTCGTTGTTGAGCACACCCTGAACGACCTCGTTGACGGCCAGTTCGATCTCCTCGTCCTTGAGGACGGAGGATGCCTCCTGCAGGACATCGTCGACGGCCATTTTGCAATCGTTGAGCGCCGCTTCGGAGGCCTGCAGAACCCGCGCCACATGCTGCTCCGCATTGAGGGCATCCTTGGCGGTGGCCAATTCGAGTTCCTCCACATCCATATCATCGCCCAGTTCCAGGGTTTCCCGGAGTGCTCCCAAGGGAGATGGCTCCGACTGCTTCTCCACCAGGTCCTCCACATGCTCCTCGGCCGGATCCTCCTCTTTCACCTCCTCCAGGTTGCCATTGCAGGTGGCATCCGTTTTGATCTGCTCGTTGTACACATCGGAAATGTTGGCTATCACGGACTTGGGTTCGGCTTCCTCGATGATCGGACCCTCTTGGATCTCAACCTCCTCCAGTTCCAGTTCCTCCACTTCCTCCTCGACCACTGGCGGCACATCCTCTAGGGAGGCAATGGAAACGGCGGCCTTGACTGCCGCGGCTGCTTGGTTTGGAGCCACTGCAGCAGCAGCTCCGCCATTCTGCTGCTGATGCAGCTCCTCCCGCTCCCAGCCACTGATCGTGCTGATGGGTCTGGCCTGGCGCAGGGCAGGATCGGTGATGTTATCCGTTCGCTGGCGTTCGTAGTGCTCGTACATTTGGGCGAACTGCAGCTTGAACTCCTCGTACGAAACTTTCGAGTGGACAATGGCGAGGGTGTCTACCCAAACCCTCCAGCCGCCATACTCATGCTTGATGGCATGGTGCAGCAGCATTCGGAACAGGGAGTACACCATGTCGCTGATCTTCTGCTCCTCGCTGCTCTTCGGATGGATGTAGGCCATCGCAATCAGCCACTCCTGCCACACGGACATCTGGAGCACGGTGCGCCGATTCTCCCGGTTGCTGTTGCACAGCAGGGTCATGTCCTGCAGGAACAGCTTCTTCACGTCGATCAGGGACTCCGTCTGCTTGGACTGCCGGATCAGGGTGGCCACCACCTTGAGGATCACTAGACGGGCACAAATAAATCCACACAATTATTAAATAATATTAAAACTAAAAACAAAGAATTCTTCTTCAAAAAAAAAAAAAAGTGTTCAACATAATAAAGTCATTTTTTGGTCTGATGATTAAAAGTTATTGATTACTTTTATAGATGAAACAAAATTAAAATATTATACATGATTTCTCCTAGTTTATAGGCAACACAACATTGTTTCTTTAAATTATGTCAAACTGTTAAGAACGTTAAAAATGTAAACTAAAATATAATCTTTTTCTTAATAAGCAATGCAAATCATTATTTTCTGAGATATACAATATATATAATATATGGGTGTATATAAATTACTATCTTGAAAATGTATTAAGATATACTGAGCTATTTTTCATTGAGAATATATAGTAAAGTTAAAATTGTTTTAATTCTCAGGTGAGGAATAAAGAATGTGGATAAAATCTGCAATGTTTCACTTACTTGGATTCTCCAGGCGGTAGTGACTCTCCGGTTCCGGGTGCCTTGTGTAAAGGATCTGCTGCGAAATGTGTTCCGTCATGATCTCGTAGAGGACATTGTAAGTGGGCAGGGAGAGTGACTCCTCGTAGAGGAGCAATCGCTCCGCCAGCAGAGTGTACAGATTGTGTGGTGACATCACATCGTATTTGCGTCTATTTTTGAGGAAAATAGAGGAAAAAAAAGAAAGTTTGGGCTATAGTACTGCTCGTCGAAAACAAAAGCCTCCCTTATAAAGGTTTACCCACTCCCAGTATTCACTGTACTTACTTGTGGGTGCTGCGCGAGAGGAAAAAGCCCAGCAATTTGAGGGCTTGCAGACGGATCAACTGACTTTCGGCCGCCAGCAACTTGAAGATGCTGCGCACTCCGTGCTTCACATCGAAGGCAGGTACCATGGAGCTGGGATGCTCCGACATCAGCGAGATGAGCATCTGCAGCACGTCGTGCAGGTTCTCGTCCTGAAAGTCGACCAAGGAATAGGAACAAAATAATTCCAATTAATAAATTCAAATCATTAATGGGCAGAGCAGGGCAGCGAGTCACTGGCCAGGATCACCCACCTCGTGCATGGTGGTCAGATAGTTGAGTATGCTCTGCAGCTCATCCTCCTTCACGCCATTGCCGATCATGATGAGCTGCTTGAGGAACAGCAGGATGTAGGCCCGGATGGCCAGGATGTCCTTCTGAGCCGGACGAGGTCCATCTGTTGAAAAAGAGGCAAAGAAGAGGTCATTATAGAAGCATTTAAGATACTATTACATTTTCTTGAAATTCTTTATTAAACTTTTTTTTAAGGATTGGAGACTTAGTTTCTAAAAATCAACATTTACAATTTTGGGAACCTCTTAATTTTTAAATTACTTATAGTCTTGATGATTTAATTTAGAAAGTATGAGTTTGAAATCTCTGGTTTTATGACCAATAAAATGGGTCTACAAAAAATGATCTAGGAATATTTCTGTAGTTTTTTTTTAACCATAATTGGTATACAAAAATAATATATTTTTCTTGGCTCTATTTCACTTGAGCAACTCACCCAGTCCCTTGGGGATGATGCCGCTCTTGGCCCGCGGATTGACCACCCAGTAGTAGTACTTGAGGGTGTGCACCGTCTGGAGGACCGTGCTGACCCTCCGCACATTGCTGTAGATCTGCGTATCCGAGAGGAACTCGGTGGCCAAGTAGGAGTAGAGTCGCGCCTGGACATTCGCGGGTGTGTATATCCACAGGGCTGGATTGAAGAGGACGTGGTCCAGCAGCTGCCACGTGAGAAACGAGAAACAGAACAACTGCGGCGAATTAGTCAAGTAACTTATGCTGTCCTCTCACATTTCGAATGGGTGACATTGTCTCGTGGACAAAAAGTGTGGTGGGGTTAGCTCGGAAAGGAAGAGTGTGTGTGTATAGATATAGATTTATAGATTTTAAGATTCATAGATAGGAAGAATATATAGTTAGGGATAGGCAAAAAGGTTTAAGTGTGTGGATATTTCAAAAAGGAATAGAGAGTGCAGGTTTTAAAATTATGAGATTGATTTCGGTATACATACGGTTAAACATGAGTTTCGGTTTTTATTATTTTATTGTTGTCAAAGTTGTTGTTGTAGTTGATGTTGATATTTTTGGGTAGTAGTAGTAGTACATATTTTGGGGTAAAACAGGTAACACATGCAGCAAACAGCATAACGGCATTCAACGAACATAAAATCAAATTCCAACGGAATGGAACGAAACGAAATGAAACGAAACAAACAATTGCATTCCGGTATTCATGAGGTTAGCATCAAAAGTTAGGGGTAAACACTTAACTAAACTAAACTAAATTAAACTAAAACTAGGCTAGGCTAGGCTAATTAAGGTAAGGTTAAGTTAAGACTAAGAATAAGAATAAGTAAGGGCTAAAATTGTTTGAGTAATTAACACATAGGTTTTTTGAATATAAATTGTGATGACGAAATGACTTAATGACTTTATTTATGTTATACTGACCGAAACCAACTGGTTAGCCTAACTGTCCCAAATGATATAAAAACAAACTCAAATCAAGAAATTGATTAACTGCATCCCATTTTTAATATCGAAAAATCAAGTAACAATTTGGAAAACTATCAAACAAAAATATAAAATTGAAAAATATTGTCCTAGTGCAACCTGCAATATAAACTTCAGCAGTATGTTCTTAATTGAATCTTGCAGTTGGCTTAACACCAGACCAGTAAAATATCGCCCGAAGAGTAACTTAATTAATGGCATTAAAGTGTGCAAAATATCTGAGCGTAATCCAGTTAAGGACAACTTCTGGCGAGTGGGAATCGCAATCGGCTTTAATTTCATTAATCTGCCTTTGGCCGGGCCCAAACAAAACTTGTTAAGCCATCGCTTCAACTTGTTGGATTGTCAAAACCAGTGTTCGCCAATGTTGTTGCCATGGCTCTCTGGCAACAATGCAACAAGGTTTTCACACCCCTCAAAACCCCTGGGAAACCCAACCCCTCTCTTACAAAACCCAACCCAACCCACTCGACTGCCGTAGAAGTTTCCCAATTAAAAAGCTGTGCACCGAATGTAATAAAAAAAAAAAAACACGCAACCAGCACCCCCAAAGGTGCCACGAAAAATATTTGCAGCTTTTCAACTCTTCGTTCTTTTTTTTACTTTTTTATTTTTGCCAGAAATTTATTCATTTTGCGAAGGACAAGGGAATCTCGGATTGTGGAATGGTATATATATATACATAGAGAGAGAGAGGGGATCGGCGATATGCGAGGCGAGCAATTAGGAAGGTGCGATTCGGTGCTGTGAACACAACTTTCGCTTCAATTATCCAAATGACACATTGAACAAATTGAGTGAGGAACGGAGTATGTAGGAAGGAGTGTGGTAAGGGAACAGGAAAAACCAAAGCAAAAGTAAAATCTGGGTTTGACGTTGGGGTTTTCAAGGGGTCTTTGGGGTTTCCCCCGGAGTTAATAAGATTATGCGGTTTATCGTTGCGGTTCTGCGGTTCGACAAAGCGAAACGGAACAAAATGGAATGAAGAACTGAAATGAGTTGGTGGCTATAAAATATATATGTACAAATCGGTACAAATCGATGAATGGGCGGAGATGATGATGAGATGGGAGTTTACTTTTATGTACAAATGATGATTAACAAATTACGCTAAACACAGACACAAAATGAAACGTAACGAAACGGTATGAACAGTGGAACGGAAACGGAAACATATATATGTTACACAAATTATATATAGTATTCGGAATATATGTAAAGTACAGAGAGTACAGAGAATTCGAGAATTGAGCTTCACCTGGTAGAACTGTTGTTGTTCATGTTGATTTTTATGTTGTTTATAATTCGTTTGTTGTTGTTGTATTTAATTGTGTGGGTGTGTGTTTTTTTTGAGTGTTGATGAGGCGCATTTGAATTGAGTTATCGATAAACGATCACAATAGCAAGAAGCGGGGAACGATTGAAATGGAAAAGCGATCATGAGTGTGGAACGTGTGGGAACGGTGGGCGTGGCAGGAAACACAGAGAGAGAGAAGAGGGCAGGGGAGAGAGAAATAGAGAGCGAGAGTGAAAGAGAGAGCAGACAAAAGTAGAAGAAGACAGTTAAGTTGTAGTTAATATTTCTTCTTTTTGGCATTTCATTTGTCTTGCTGATTTCTGGCTAGGGAAAGTATTAATTTTGATTAATTTCATTTATGTTTTTCGAGCTGATCAAGCGAATCGAAGCGGTGCCCAGGCAGGTGCAAAGTGCAAGCGAAACGAAACGGTATAAAACGCAAATGGATCAAATGGCGGCAACTGATCGCAATCGAAACGCAAGAATGGAACAATTTGCTATCGGCCAATCGGTAAGCTTCCTCGAAGCACAGCACATGCAGAGTGCGCGATAAATGCATGCAACAGTGTGACAAAAAAATCGTTAAGGAAAGACCAAACTGGTTGAAAAAATAAACGAATTGTAATAAAAACAAGAAAGAAAAGCTAACTTCGGGCGGAGCCGAAGTTGATATACCCTTGCAGAATATTCTGTAAATTATATTCTCCAAAACTATTCATATGATGCATTCTTAATACTCATAAAAAATCCCAACTTCCTAACTTTAAAAACACCAAAGTTATGGCATTTTCAATCGTTCAGTTATATGGCAGCTATAGGATATAGACGGCCGATCCTTATGAAATTTGATAGGTGGGATTGATTGGCCAAATATAACCCCCTTGGAAAATCACAACTTAACAAACACTAACTTAACAAACACCAAAGTTATGGCATTTCCGATCAATCAGTTATATGGCGGCTATAGGATATAGTCGGCCGATCCTTATGAAATTTGGTAGGTCGGATTGATTGGCCAAATATAACACCCATAGGAAATTCCAGCTTCCTAACTTTACAAACACCAAAGTTATGGCATTTCCGATCAATCAGTTATATGGCAGCTATAGGATATAGTCGGCCGATCCTTATGAAATTTGGTAGGTCGGACTGATTAGCCAAATATAAAAGCCATAGAAAATTCCAGCTTCCTAACTTTACAAACACCAAAATTATGGCATTTCCGATCAATCAGTTATATGGCAGCTATAGGATATAGTCGGCCGATCCCGGCCGTTCTGACATATATACTGCGTGCAAAGGAAAGAAGGGTGTGTGCAAAGTTTGAACTCGATAGCTTTAAAACTGAGAGACTAGTTTGCGTAGAAACAGACAGACGGACAGACGGACAGACGGACAGACGGACATGGCTATATCAACTCAGGAGGTGATCCTGATCAAGAATATATATACTTTATAGGGTCGGAGATGTCTCCTTCACTGCGTTGCACACTTTTGACCAAAATTATAATACCCTCTGCAAGGGTATAAATATTACCACTCAATTAAAGTCTTCAATTAGTATGTAATTGACCAACAACTGTTGATCAAAAATGAATAATAATAAATGAATTTAATAAAATAAGAATTAAAACCAATACTAAATTCAAAAAACTGTACGGAAATAAAGATTATAAGACTTTTTGATAAATATAACATTTACACATTAAGAAAAAGCAATTTGCCAACAAAATTATTATTGAAATAAATAGGGGTACTTTCTTAAGTGATAAAAAATCAAATCATGAGTCAATCGTTTTTTTCCATATTCCGTTCAGCTTAAATAATAGAACAAAGTCTCTGCTCTACCTTTGAACTAAGCGGGTTATAGAATTCAATGGGCAACCAATGGGATTTCGAGGAGGAATACAATTCCTCCCGGTCGCACAGGCTGGCAAATGGCATAAAACAAACATAAATAGGCCGGAGATAGATTTATATGTATATATATATATATCGGGTGGGGGGTTGACGTTGGTTGCTTGTGAGTATATGCGAGTAGTACGAGTACGAGTCGAGTATATTTGCTTAAGAGATTCTCAAATGCAGTTACTTATAACGAGAAATGTGAGCAGTTGTTTACGGTTGTGTTTACTTTTTTGAAAGGATTACGCAGGCCTGTGTTCAACTGTGCGCCATCATCATCATAACCATCATCATCATCATCAAATCATCATCAAAAAAAGGCAAAACACAGTGAGTGCGATAGATAGAGTTGAATGTATTTATATTTATGTGTGTAGAGAGAGAGAGATAGAGACAGAGAAAGCAACAAACGAGACGAATTCGCATATCATTTTTGGGATTTTCTTTTTTTTTCGGAGAGATGGGTTAACATGCCACCCGAAAAACAATCGATGGGTTGGGTTTTCATTTTTGGTTTGGTTTTTTTTTGTCGGGTGTAAACAAACAACAAGAACGCGTAAAAAAATTGTAAATCAAATTCACAAGGAGATCCTTTGCTGAGGGGCGGGCTTTTCGCATGCTTAACCACCCCCCAAAAAAAATAACTGGCACTTAGTTCGAACTTAGTTATTGTAATATTTATAGTATATAATACATAGACATTTTACATTCATCACAAAAAACACGGCATGCCATTGACATTGCGCATACGCAGCGTGGTCTCTGCAATACATCCGATCGTCCCTCCTTATAAACTCGTATACAGTATGTATATATAATAAATAGGCTAATTGGCAGGCAGGTGTAATTTCGCCGCCGACTTACCTGCTTCAGTAGCAGATCGCTATTGGCCGACAGGCAGGTGACCAGATATTTGGTGAGGTTCAGGAAGGATCCCAGGACCTCGAGGGTCAGGTGTTCGCGGGAGGAGCGCTGCAGCATGAACGAGATGACCAGGAAGCCCCGGTTCTGGATCATGTGCTGTTGCACTGTCTGCGATGTCTCCACCAGTTCACAGATGAAGCCCAGCAGCTTGGAGCTGTGAGAAAGGATGGTGAACAAAATACACGGCATTATTGATAATCATTGATACTAGCGATTGGTTGCCATTCCAGGCACTTGGAGTTTATTTTACTGTTGAACAAAAGCCCTGAAAAAAGTCTTTTAAGAGTTTTCTGGATATTATCCCCTGCATCCAGCATGTCCCCATATACACCCCCGATCCTGGCCATTTCAACTCACCACAGCGTGGGATCCCGCTTGATGTCGCCCAGACCCTCGTGGGCCATGTCCAGCTGCGAGAAGAGCGGGAACAGCACCTGGATGCCGCCAATCGAGTTGAGGGTGCAGTGTATCGAGTGCGTGACCACGGCCTTTACATCCTGCAAAAGCAAATTTCAATTTAATCAGAGGTCTATTAATCGCCTAAGCTGTCATCAGCCCCGTATTTTGCACGGGACACGTTTTGCCATGCTCCTTTGTACTCCTGCTCCTGCTCCCGCTCCTGCTTCTTATGATTTGTGTGTTGTTTGCCCAAGAAATTACTACAAAATTTATTGAATAATTTTGCAGGAGTCGCTACGCCGTGCTTTCCGGTCTCGGGGCACTTGGAGCACGGAGCACGGAGCTCGGAACTTGGACTTTGGACCTCGGACCTTTTGGCTAATAAGAAATGCCAAGGCATGCGCCGGTGTCGTAAAATTTCTGCATGAAATTTATGTTCCCTGGGAGGCAGTGAACACTACCTACCACTACCTCCCCCCACCCGGCCCTTCCACCTTTTCTTTTCACCTGTCATTTACTCACCTGCAGCATCAGCGCATGCGGCGTGTGCACGAAATATGAAACATTTCCCTTGGGCGACGACTGCAGACACAATTGACCATCGGTGGCCACCGGATTGTACATGAACACGATGGCATTCGATAGCTTGCCATCGTACAGCACCTGTGGGCAATAACAAGAACGAACAAGACGCTTGAGTCAGGTGGGCGAGTGGTCATGTGGAATAGGATAGAGGATGGAGGAATCGGGGGAATAGCCCCGATAGCAGGAGCATATATATGTGGCAGGGATTAGGCCCGGCTTTCGGCGAGTCATCGAGTGGCATCGAGCTGGGCACTAAGGAAGGACCCCATGGACTCCATGGACCCCACAATTGGTCCTCAGTCAGGTTATTGCAATTAACTTAGGCTTTGTCTTTAGCTTTGCTTTTGGCTTTGGCTTTAAGCTGACACACAACAAACAACAAAAGAAAATAACACACAGTAACACACACACACACACAAGTAAAAGCACGTTTACTAGAGACCAAGGAAAAACCAAGTTCGATAATCCGAAGCTTTAAATACCCAGCAGAGTTTTAAAGTCTTAAACCGTTATTACAAAATTCAAAATGACTTCGTAGTATTTTAAGTTGACTATAACTAAAGGACAAACAAATTGATTAAACATAAATATAGAAAGTTTCTGCCTAATTTATATAGTTTTTCAAATAAATTAAATAAAACATGAATGATGATTTAAGATGTCTGAGGAATTCGAATTATTTAAAAAATAACAATAGCAATGTGTTGTTCTCTTTCTGCTTTGTAAAGCTGAAATAAACCAGAAATTGAACGAGGTCTAATACGTATTTCAATGCTGATCAGGAATTTATGGGCAGCTCTTGCATAAAGTCTTTCGTGCTCTGATAAATTCTCTGTAAGTCTATAAAAAACACTGCCGGGTCATAACAATTCACCCATACGCTCACAAACGCAATAACGGCACTGTGTGTGTGTGTGTATTTTTAATATAAAACTATTCAAATGCTGTTCAAGAATATATATATATGTATATACAATATATACACAACACGCATCGTTGCTTTTTGCTTCTTGTTCGGCGGCAGGTTTTCCTCGAGCTTCGAGTTTTCTTCTCCTTTTAGTGCACTTTTGCAGTGTGTGTGTGTGTGTGTGGCTTTTGCTCACTGTTTGTGTGTGTGTGCTACAAATGTAAGCTGGTGCTTGTGTGTTGGTAGTATTATTAAAATTATTTATTTTTGGCTGCCTAATTTGCTGCTAAAAATACTTCTTTGCGATATTTCCAGAAAGAACAAACAATAGAGAACTTAAGCAAGCAATTAAGAAGAAAGAAAGATTGCATTTATTTAATTTAAAGGATAAATGAATTTATGAAGTACCCTTTGAACTAGTCTTCGAGTAAAATAATAAAGGACTGAAAAAACATTAATACACTTTTTAAGAAAAAACAAATGTATAGATCCAAATCTTAACTTAACATGTGATAGGCCAAATTTTAAAGTGTAAGTTTTAAAAGAGCAACACAAGTCTACCTATGTTTACAACTTGAAATGAAACAGTAAATTGTACCAAAATTAAAATCTTTAAAATCTAAAACCGCTTTTACTGGCTGAGTGAGCGTTTCTTTTTACATTTATTTCCTTGGCACAGTTTTCTTCCAGGGATCATAACTTTTGCCCACATATTTTCCTCCCATTTTCCCTTAAAAGCGCAATGTTTGTGTGTAAATGTGATTGCGTGCTCACGTGTGTGTGGCCGTGTTTTCCCATCCCATTAACTCAACTCCCGATTTGGCACATAAAAACAACATTCAAAATAACTAAAGCACTCACTTTTTCAACCTACACACCAGACCCCCCCCCACGAAACCCCCTGTTTTTCCCCTACAAAATGGTATAATACCTGGCATAGGTGAGTGGGGTGGCAAAAAGAGGGGGTGGCAAGTGAAAGGTGGGTGGCTGTCTACATAATAGCTGTTTCGGGTCCTGAAATGTGGAGCACACGGGCATAGAAAATGTTCTAGCGGAATATGGAACATGCGCGCCCAAAGATTTCCAACAATCTCCGGTGGGTGGTGGTGGGTTTTCTGGCCTTACATATTCGCCTTTGTCTACCGCCAGTTGGGTTTATTTTTTTTTATTTTTTTTTCGGGCGGGGGGCTGTTTTTTGAGACACCTGCCCAGGTATACGCTACATTTACTTCTCCTTGCTAAGAACGGGCACTGTTACTCCCATAAACTTGCCACCTTCAACTTTAAAACCCAAACATTGTATTCCTGGAAGCCAAACTTAAGGTATCGATTTAATTGCCGGCGGTAACTTCTTAATTGCTCGTCGAAATTATAGAACTTTAAGCCTTAAGTTTCAAAAAGGAAATACAAATCAATACATGTACAACTTAAAATTGTATGAAAAAAACTTTAGGCTTCTCGCTTTAACTGATAGCAGTAACTTATTAATTTATTAACTTTTTGAAAAACTGTATTAGAGTTACTGACTTAAATAGTTGTATAAAAACACTAAAAAACAGAAATTAAAAAATAATGTTAAGTTAACTATTTATTCCTTTTAAAGAATTTGAACCTAAATTAAATTTAATTACTTAAAGGTTTTAAAAGAAAGTGGTATGAAAATATTTGCAAAACCTTTGAAAGCGAAATAGTGATATAAAATCAATCAAAAATCAGATTGGCATAGTTTTATGAAAAAAATATAGCTCCAATCTTTCACAGCTTTTGTTGAATTGGTTTCTTGTTTTTTGTTTTAGTTCCCCAAGATTTCATCACGAAAATTAAAATATTTAAAAAATTACAATACGGAAATGGTAAACGAAATAAAATAAAATGTTATAAAAACAAAGTTTGCTTACAGCTTTCAGCTGGTTGACTTCCTCAGTGTCGGCGGATCCGACCATTAAGTTTAAGCTGCTCACGCTGGACATTCGACGCAGTTGCTCTGAGTGGTCCCCAAATGAAAAGTTTAATACAAATTATAAATGCAAAATGAAAATGGCAAATGAAAAACAGTGTAAATACCAAAAGAAGAAGTATTTCCAGTGGGCAAATGGCCGAGCGGATCGTCGGCATTGCCCGATGATGTTGCCGCCAGATGTGTTGCATGTTGCTGCTGCTGCACGGCTGCATCATTCTCATTGTGTGTTGCCGCTGCCGGCAGGGCAGATGTTGCTGCGGGAGAGGTGCCTCCTGCTGCTGCTCCTGCTGCTGCTGCTGTTGCGGTGGCTACTGCAGTAGAGCTACTGCCACTGCCCGCCAAGGTAACTGCATTGCGTGCGGTTAAGACCGCTCGGATTTTCACAAAGGCCTCATTCAAATCGAGCTTTTCATCCGTCCAATCGATGGCACGCGCCTCTTGTTCGGCGGCCAGCGTTTGGAATTGCAACTGCAACTGCTGCTGCTGACCGGCGGCAACAGCTGCTGCCGCCGCTGCTGCTGCATCGCCGCCCCCGGTGCCACTCCCACCGCCCACGCCCGGCAGTGATGATGCCCCCAAGGTCGCTGGCAGAAGTTGAAAGTGACTCACCCGCTTGTGATTGTCCGGCAGATTCAGATAGCACTCGTTGTCGAATCGGAACTGCGACTGTTTTTTCACACAGTGTTTGTTTTTTTTTTTTGGTTTTTCGGTGTATTGTGCAAGTTTTGTTGTATTTTTTTTAGCAGTGCAGCGGACAGGAAGTTTTGTAAAAACACGGAAAGAGAGAGAAAAAAGAGCAAAAAGAAAAGAGATACGGCATATATGAACAAATGACGTTATTTTTGTACAGACGAGGACAATATTGCTGCGGCATTTCGGCGGTGCAATGTAGTGGTGCAGTGGTGCGTGCGCTTGACCATCGCCGGGTTGGCAATGGGTGGTGGTGAGGGTGGGGACTGGGTCAGGTGGTTGCCCACTTACCTTGTAACCGGGTCCCAGGCGATGCATCGCGCAGATCTGCTGCGTGGTCAGCGCCTCGCTGAAAAGGTAGATCGCCGACATTTGGCCGCAGAACACGCGCTCCTCATCCAATTCGGGGGTGGCTCCAATGTAGCACTTGTCAAAGGGCTGAAAAGGTGTGGAAAAATGGGGAGACTTCCTATATAACATCTTAAAACATTGCGAAAGGATGCCTGAGCAATTTAAAGTGCACCAGAAAATAACACTGGTTCAAAGATTAATGTGCATTTAATAGTCTATGATCTCAGAACTGAAGAAAAGGTCAATTCCTAATTCCTACTTAATATAGCACAATTATTTTATACAATTCCGATGTAAATTAATTGCAGTTAACAAGAAATGTTATTTGTAATCGATATTTTCGATATTTGCAAAGGTAAAATGTGGAGGTTAAACTAGATAATTTAATTGTAATTATAACTAATAATATAGATTAAATGGAGTATCAATTAATGATACAGTAATTCCACGAAGTAATATTGTTCGAAATATTGATGACGATTATTAGATTTGAAACTGTAATCTTCAATTAAGAAGATTAATTAATTAAGTAAAGCTTCATTAATTTTTTTTAGATAGTCACTGTCGATATATTTGATAGCGTTTCATAAATTATTCAAGTGCACTTACGAAAATAAATTGAATAATAATATAACATGGCATATTATGACATAAAGCAAGCATAAATTGATGCCTGCTTAACACAAAATACAATACAACTCGACACGTTTAATAAATATTTATAGAATTGGGCTTTTGAGATGCCCGGTACTCACATCGTTTGTGGAAACAAACCATGCCATCTCAGTTGAAGAGGCCAGCTGTCCATTAACGAGGCACTTGATTTCGCTTTTCGTCCAACGATTGTATATATACACTATGGCAATCATATACCACTGAAACAGAAACCGAATTCAAAGTCAGGATGAGAGTGAGGTTGTTGGTAGAATATCTTACCTTTCGTGGCTGGAATTCATATTTGACACAATGCTGAAAGCCCTTGCCCTTGACCTTCATCGAGGTGAGAACGAGGCAGTTGCCCACAAAGTGCGCCGTATAGCCCACGCCCTTCGATGTCTTGAAGCTGCAAATATTAAGCGGATGTTAATGGATTTATTTTTGTAGTGACATCGTTTCGTATCAAATTTCATTTCAGCCTTTGGGCAGTACTCACCAGTAAAGGTAGGGCTTCTCCCGCTCGATATTCACCGAATTGATGGGATCCAGGCGGAACCAGGTGGTGAAGGTGAATCCGTTCTCATAGGGCCACTTGGCCAACGGCGGCAGGACCATGGCCTAAAAACGGAAAGAAACCGAGAACCGATTAAGGCCAATTTAAAACTGATCGACATAGTATCGTTAAATAGATTATGGTCAGTTTGCCATTCGATTACTTGGGCAATTAGCATTAATAAGCCGCATAATTGACTTGGCACATGGATACGAAACCCGTTAACAAATACCATGGAGCCCCAAAGACGGCATCAAATTCCAAAGCCAAAAACCGAAGCTGTGTACAGAGGAAAACACTTTTGACTGGCTGGGAACTTGCGGCACATTCCACTCCACAAACTACACACGAATGTATTTCCTGTGGCAACCTTTCAGCCATGTCTGAAATGCAAATGGAAAGACAGCTGGAGAATTCAACAGAAGAAGCCACAAAACAGAACTGAACTGAAATTAAAAGGAAATGAGCAAATTTGATTTATCATCAATTCTGTGGCTTTACGGCTGGTCGACGACGATGTTTGCCAAAAAGGATAAATTCAAGATGAAGGCAGCTAGCAGTATAAACTTCCAACTTGGCTGGATAAGTCAGGTGAAATTTTGCTGGCAGTTCATAAATTTAATATTAATACACTCCACTTTGCCTGTCTGCCTGTTCAAATAATCGTTTAGAAAATACCATTACATTATTTCTGTGGAAATGCCATTTGACATTATCCGGCCGAGGCATCAAGTAATGCATCTCCAATCAGTTAACAAATATTTATGCATGTGATGGCCAAGTCACTGAGTTTGTCCCTCATTGTTTTCCCTTTGAGACAATTTACAATATTATTTATTAGCCCCATGATGGTTTTAAATATTTGACTCAGTTGATTGCATTGAACTAATATGCAAATTAAAGCAAATATTGATATATAATTATTTTAATGATTTGGGTTAGTCATTAACCCTGAAACTGCACTTCAAGGCCAGTATCTTCTCTTACAGGCATCCGATATCAAAATGGCATAATTCTAAATAATTGTGGTTTAGCTCTCTAAAAATCGGTGTTTTCACCTTAGTTTGTATTTTGGGGCCTATTTTTCGTAAATTGCTGAAAAGTGACCTAAAGCCTGTACTCTTATGACCATAACTTTTTTTTACAGACATCCTATTTCAAATTTGCATACTTCTAAATGATTAGTTCACACTTTCTTAATAATATTTATTTAGTCAAATTTGTTTGTATATTTATGATTTACTACAGTTTAATGCTTAACAGTTTAAGGTTGTATGTTTAAGTTGATTTATTCACCTAATTTTATACATACATTTTACTATTCAAGTATTTGGTTTGGCCATTATTAATGTTGACTTAAATAATTTGAATAAGCTGCGATGATTTATTTGATTTAAATCAAATTCGGGGATTTAATTGTGGACATTTAAGAATTAAGTCATTATATATTGGCATATATTTCATTATTCATGGTTTTTAGACTGTTACTATTACAAACATCATTTAAGTAAGTCATTTAGCTTAAAGTGATTTGAATCCTAAATTGAAGTCATTGATTTATTTACGATTTATTTTCCTTATTTATTTATTGAGTAATTCATCCTGCGTTCAGTTTATTAAATCACTTGTTCGCTCTTGAACTCTGTGCAACTATTTAACCCTCTCACAAAGATCAAATTTCATTTACTTTGCACTTATCTAGTGGTCTCGCCTTTTCGAGTGGGGATGGGAGATGGGAAATGGAGACCACTTTTTGGGGTCCCAGAAGAGACCGACCGGGCTAAATGGGTTAAGGCCAGACGGACGTGACAAAGACTGACACTGTTGGAGTTTTGCTGCGGTTGCAGGCAACTTTGCACCACACACATACACACACACACACACACACTGCCACTGTCTCCCCCTCTCATTTTCCCAATTTGATACCATTTCCCGTGACAGAAGAGGGAAAAATCCGGGGAGGAGGTGGACGGGACCAGCGATAAACTGAAATGGTGCCCTGGTGATTTTCGGTTTTGGCTTTTCCGAAAATCTCATTATTCGAATCGAGTCCCGTCGCCCTGTTGCAATCAGCACCATCAATGGCATTAGGCGTGCTTGTGGATCGCTGATCGGCGGTTAAGTGGGTTGAATTTCCCCCAAAAAAGCGGGCTTGACGGAAAATTAAAAAAAGAAACCAAATGTCCCCATCGAAAAACAACATCAAAAGAGAGGCTCCTGCATACGATGTGGATTGAATAGATAGGTGGATGAATTGAGATGGTTCAACTGGGTGGCACCAGTCTATTTATTAGACATTTTGTGACAATTGCGAAGCGCTCCCATGCAATGCTCCTATTTGACTTCCAATTCACTTTATGGCATTTTTTATGTGTTTATGGGACGATGGACACGTCGATAGAGTGTCGTCAACTCCTCCTCCAAAACCAAAAAAAAAATGGAATTGGTCAAGCTCATGGCTAACAAACACACTCATAGATAGAGGAAAAATACACATTCACACACGAAGCTAGACTGGGGAAAAAACACATTTCGAATTCGTTTTAAGTGCGACGCAATAAAATAAAAGCCCCCTGAAAATGTCGATGGGGCGCAATGGGGATCCCCCGGGGTACCTCATCCTATGTTGTATGTGCGGATGTATATGAAGCCTTTGTCCCAGCCAGTTGCATTCAAAAGGAAAAAATTCTGGCGAATTGCATGAAAAATATCACTCAGAGGACCCCCAATGTGACGAACCAGCAGGTAAAAGGCAATTTAATTAAGATTCTGATAACTCAAAGTCAAAAATATCTAACAAAAACTGTGAACTTTATTCTTTGCTATTTCATACCATTGTTTTTATAGTCTAGTATTTTCATTGAATACTTGATTAAAATGGAAAAATTCCTTGGCTATGTTGTATTAGTACTGTTTTTTATACATCGGAAATATCTCTTTGTAGTTGTTTTATACACTTAAAAGCTGGTATCCAATGTTAAGGAAATTTTAATTTAAAAATATTCTCTTTCCCTGAGCAATTTAATTAATATCAGTATATAGCTTTTTAAAGAAGTTTTTTATTGTCTCTTTATAGGATCCCCAGAACGATATATTATCTATCGCTTATTACTGAGTCATCGAATGAAATCGACCATTAGTTGTGGCATCGTCGATTAGCACTTACCGATCCCTTGCGGCCTGGAAAGCTGAAGAACACGTCCGGTCCGTTGCGATGTGGCATCTGCCGGAGGACGTTTAGCAACTTGGCCGAGTGGCGCGGCCACTTGCCATTGGTGGCCTTCATCGTCCCGAAGAGCAGCTTCAGCTCCTTCACCGTTATGCTGTAGCTGGCCAGCACGCCCAGCATCTCGATGAGCAGATCTGAAAAGCAGAGGGGAAAATGTATTAGTATCGGCTGCAGAAAATACACGTTTATGCAATCCATGTCAGGATTTCATTAATCTTAAAAGGCTCTAAACATTGCCCATCAAAATGATGGTCATTTGTCATCGATAAAGTAAAATTATGATTAGTTTAAATTAAATTTTTTTAAAATAATTTTTAAGACTTTTGAATTGGTATTACTATAGATTTATTTATACACTCAATAGTTTATTTTTTAAGCAAACCCTATACTATGGATGTTACGTATGCATGAATGCTAATTGAAGGCAGAAAAAAAGCCTTAATACAGCTTTTCGTGATATGTTTTTATGCCCGCATAAACACTGTTAGCGATACAAACCGAGATACAGAGTCATCCACGCAAAATGTCCGAGCCATTAAATGCGGAAAGGCAGGAAATGGGTTGAAGGCCTAAAGGATATGCGCAAATGCTGCTGACAGCCTGCCAAACTCAACTGCGTGTGTGTGTGTGTGTGTGTGTGTGCGTGTTTGTGGCAACAATCAAGTTCCCGTTTTAACTCAGGTGGCAAGTTGCAAATGCAAATGCAAATGCGAAACCGAATGCAAAGTCCTCGCGTTCACCCAAGTGGCAAGGACACGCGCTCTCACAGCGAATGCTAAAAGACAAGGGGGCGTGGCAGGGGCGTCGTAGGTGGGCGTGGTCGCGGTCGTGTTCGTCGCAAGGCCATCAGCTATATTGCATTTGATCTAGCATTGCCATTGCCACCGCGCGAATGGAATTCCAATTTGAAGCGAGGTCAAAAGCCGGCAAAAAGTTGCCACAGCGCTTCAACTAACAGTCATATTTTTAGAATCATTAAGAAGAATAGATCAAATAATATATAACATGAATAGATGACATTTTAAAGGCAAGAGTTTTGCGCTTGTCAAACTATAAGATGTCATACTACTTGGCAAATCTGAGAAATAATTGAAACGTCATTTTGAATATAATGTTTCATAAATAGCATTAAACACTTGGGATAAATATTCCTTCAAATAACTGTAAAGTTTCAATTGACTTGCAATTTAAATTATGAAATTTTAAAAGAAAAACTCCCCGGGGTAAAAAGTTTTTGAGCCAAAAACTATTTTCATCATTCGTCTATGTCTTCGATGAGCCGCGAAGATGAAGTCCTACGTCCCTAGCTCCTTCTCTCTCTGTCTTTGTCTCTTTCTCACTCGATTTTGGGAAGTTATGCCCCGTCTTCCTCGATTTTTGCCATCTCACTCTTGTGGGAAGGAGTTGCATTTTCAATCAAGTTTAGCCAAAAGCTGGGGCAAATAGTTATTAATTCCGGAGTTCAAACTAATTGCCTCCGCTGGCTTTACCTCTCTCTCTCTCTCTCTTGTGCTCCGTCTATAACTGCCTCGCCCACTCCGCCGCCCTCATGCCACGCCCACACCTTGGGGTCTGGTTTTGCAGCGAATGCTCCGCTATTCCCAAACTTCATTTGTAATGCACACTAATTGAAATGGGACGATCGGGCCGTTTTAATGCTTGGACTGTTTGGTTCACCTTCTGTTCTCGTCTCTCACTCACTCTCCTTGCCCTTGTGTACCACCCACCACCCACACACACGCTTCCTCTCTAGCACACATACACACACGTACTTTCAGCACCGAAAGTATTTTATAATATTTATATTTTCTGTTTTTTTTGAGGGTATTGAGGTATTTTCCTGATCATGTTTTTAACGTCAAAATATCCAACATTTTTAAAATTTTGATACATTTCAAATAGTTTAAATAAATAATAGTTTCTTCATTGCATACATTTTTATTTATTCAAAAATGTTAAGATAATTAAATCAGTTTGCTTAATAAATTAGGAATACTAGGCAATAGCCTGTTTTTCAGTGCACACACACTATTCAACACGCTTTAGGTTGCTTGAGTTCAGAAATTGAGTAACTCTGGCAGGTTGAACCTTTGGGCCACTGGCTGACCCAAGTTATCCAACCTGCGACCCCAAATCCCACTGCCCGTTCCCTGCGGCATTCCCAAGACGACAATGTCGCCCACTTGGTCCCCAGTTGGTATTCAGCTCCCCTGGCTTTCTCTACTTTCTCTCATGCTTTTCCTCACCCAACGCCACAGCTTCATCAGCATTTAATTACATTTTCCTTGGCATGCCAAAGTTTTTACTGCCCCAGCTCATCATCATCATCTTCAGCTGGAGAAAAATCATCGGGGAGAGGAATATATATGTATATTATAAACCTATATATAAAGAGCAAGGGAAGGGGAAAGCAGTGAGAGCGTTTAACGCAACAATTTATCTTATCAAATTCTTGCAATTGCATTGTCGAGTTTTTAAGCACTTTAAGTTGGACTTGAGAAAAAGAAGGCAATGGATCTAATGGATCCCCTAAATACAGATACAGATACCCATGTCCATGCCCATACCCATAGATACTCATACGCAGACATAAATGTTATATGGAATCCGAGAAGTTGCTACTCTAAGCTGAACTTTGCCCGAGACAACGAACTTTTAACTTATCTAATTTCTTGGCAAGTGTCACGTTTTGGCATTTGTCAGGTGACACACGCACACATTCCGCAACGAAGAAATGTGGGAGGGTGGGGCAGTAAAGGGGAATAGACAGACATCCCTTGTGCACAGGAAAAAATTAACAATATTTTATATTTCTTTCTTAACATTTGTTCTACAGTTCAAAGAAAAATTTATTTTCAAACAAATTGTATTTTCATCTTAAGAACGTATTACTTATAAATATTAATAAGTCATAAATTGTATCATTTAAATTATATTTCTGTTAAAAAGTAAAAAAAAACTAAAAAAAAACTAAAACATTAAGTAATTTAAGTCTTCAACATTGTAATGTAAAAATTTTACTTGTAAAGGAAAGAAGTTTCCTTAATTCACATAAGGCGATAGCAAACTGACATACAAATCAAGTTTGTAAGTGTGTAATAGAATTATAAACTCAAATGTGGCTAATTTAAGACTGTTTCTCTCGGTGTACGTATGAAATTATGTCTTTGTTTGTGGCCTTTCTCCCGTTTCTCCCTTCTCTGCTTTCTCCTTTCTCGGGCCTCACACGCACACACACACATGAAGCTCAAAAGTCAGCGACTGCAAATTGACAGCAGTTACAGTTCGTTAAATGCGGAATGAAGAAGGGGAAGGGGTTGGGTGGGTGTGTAGGTGGGGTGGAGGTGGGTGAAGTCAGTGCAAAAAGATATATGGAAAGGGTGGAGTCGGTGGGTGGTGGATGAGTGGGTACTGGGATTTTGTGGAGACCGCAGATGTGTCATTGACTTAATAAAATCAAAATCAAAGCCAAAGGCACGCACATGCTTAAGGCAGCAGCGTGTGTGTGTGTGTGTGGTAAGATTGAGGGGTGGGGCAGAGGGTGGTGCAGTGGGCGTTGGGTGGCCCCGTGGGCGGGGCCAGCGACGGTCGCTAATGAAGAGCAAATTTGCTGTCGAGCTGCGCCGCTCCATTCCACTCCTCCAATTTCTCTGGCTTTTTACTGTGTGGTCTATTGGGTGGTTGGGTGGTCTTGTGGGCGGTTTCTGGGTGGTTCAGTGGTTTCCACAGAGGTGGAATGGGGGGCGCAACTGGGCGTGTCAGTGCTGCTGACAAGCGTGAAATTAATCGAGAGGCAATTCAGCGGACCAGAGCAAAAGCAAACCAAAGCCAAACTTCGGATCTATTCATACCAGTCAAACAATGGTGAAATGTGTAAACTCCATTGTTCCACGAAACTGAAAACCCTGTAATGCTCCACCCAAATTTTGATTAAGCACATAAACTGACCGAAAAATGAAAATGTTTATCATTAAATTCTAACCAAGTGTTTTAAAGTAAAAAAAGTTATAAAAGACTTTCAATTGAGTTTCGATAGCATATTCAAATTCCTACAAAGAGGCTTTATAAAACTAAACAAAAACAAACAAAAAAAATACTTTTAAATTATTTTTTGGAAAAAAGAGCATTTTAGTGCTACTTTAAGTCATAAGAAGATCTTTGAACCATTGAATTAACAAAGTATTTATTTTGACGTCACCTTAACAGTTTTTTATACCTATTTCTTAAGTCATACATAATTACTTTGTTAAATATATAATCGTTTTCACTTTAAAAGTCAGGGATATAAGTAATTAAACAAAATATACAATGTTAACTTATATAAAGAACATTAATGTTAATTGTTAAGCTTGCTGTTTAGCTTTTACAACTATTTTTTTTATCTTTTTTGAGGTCCTTACTTGATTTGCTTAATTCAAATTTGATTTAGTAGATAAATTAATTATTTTTAAGGACTTCTTACCTGCCACAACCGTTTCGGAGCGCTGCAGGCGGACAAGGACATGCTCGATGAGGCCGACATCGGTGCAGGCCTGCAGATTGCGTACGCTTTTGCGCAGGATGGCGATGAATACGCTCCAAATCTCCGCCTGCAATTGAAGAACAAACAAAGGCTTATTTTAAATGGCTATCAACAAATATAGAGATAAGAACTGTATCTGTTGGGAGGAAGAAAGAAAATCTCTAGAGAGAAAAAGTGTGTGGCGAAATCAAAGTATCAAGTATTGCTGTTGCCTTTCGCCTTTTGCCCAGCTCAATAAGCAAAAGTAAAGTGGCTCACACAGACACACGCTTACCCGCACACTCATACGCACACTTGCAGAAAAACACACACACACACGCACACACATCCAGGGCAATCAAAGGCAGGAAGTGGAAGCGAAAGGCCAAAATAAGCAGCTCACGCGCTCGAAAGTATGCAGCACTTATCTGCTCACTTCTCTCTCTTCTCCTTAAGTGTGTATGTGTGTGCTTGTGTTTTTGCGAGTGTGTGTGTGTGTGCCTAATGTAAACAGTCATTGAAATAAAGTAAAATAATGGAAAGTAATGGCAAAAAAATCGCAAGCCAAGACCGAGTTTTCCTTCTCGAATTTCGTTTTTCCTTTCAGCATTATTGCCTCAATTCTCGAGAACAAAAACAAAGCGTTTGACGGTTTTTTATGATTATTGCCTTTGGCACACACACACACAAACACTCACACAAGCCCAAGCCCACACTCACAGATAGGGCACACAAACAGATACATTCACTGAAACTGAGAAGATTGCACATTGATTGGCAATTGCAGAAAAAGCGTTGGGAATATCGCTTTGAATATATATTTCTGTATTTCAGTTATTTCTGCTATTTTCACAATTTCGATAACAAGAAAAAAACAAAACAAAATTGTCAGGAATTTTATGTATTTAGTTTCATAAGAACAAATAAGAGAGATAATGGCCTGATTATAGGTTGGTATTCTGCTGATGATTTTCCATTAGTGTCAATTTTATTTCACCATTTCCTAATTTGCGAAATAAAAACATTCGGAATGGTAAATGGTTCTAGAAATGGAAATATTGATACATTAACATCTTTAGAATTTAGTTGCCATAAAATATTTCTTAGTTTGATATAAATTCAGAACATTAAGAATACATTTTTTTTTATTTTTCGTCTCTCTCCATGTCTTTATTTTATGTTTCTCGTTCGTTATCTACTTAATTTCTTGCTGTTTTTATTTTTTTTCTCGCCCTCTAGATATTTTTTCTGTTTTCCGCTTCCTGTTTGTGTTTTTCTAATGTACTGCACACGCATAATTTAATTCGTAGATTCAAAAATTGCCCACAAAATTCAGGCTTTTCTCGCTTTATCACACAATTTTCCGCTAGGGCTTCAAAGTACACCTGGGATTTTGAAAAGCTGTTTGTACATATACAAAATGTACTTAAATCACAAACTCACTGATGTACACACGTAAAATGTAGTGTTGTGAGAAATACTTTCTTTGCTCTTTACTAAGCTGCACCACAGGGCACTTATTATTTCCATGAGTCCTTGGTCCTTCGCAAGAATTTTCCGCATTTCCGACGTTTTCCGTATTTCCTCCTTGTTTTTTTTAATTTGGCTCTGGTTTTCGTGGTTTCTCTCTCTTTCTCTGCTGGCCAAAACGACAGTTTGTTGGCCAAAACTCATTTATTGCTGTTTGTTCAACAATTGAAATGAAGTTCTTCAGAGCTCGACATTCGGTAATAAACGTTTGAGAGCTTTATTTTTGAAAGCAAATCATCAGTTATTTTAGGCACTTTTTTTCTTATAAGTCTGCAATCCAAATTTGGTATTTCAAATAATAATTTCAGTCTTTAAGTGTTGTTTTCATTCCTTAAATGGGGTTAATTCCAATTTTCAATTTAACGTCAATCGAATTTTTGACCTATTTTCATGTTAGTCATTTCCAAGTTTCCGATGACTTGTAAAATGGCGACCATAGTCCATAACTTTTGCAAATTTAATCCAAATTGGAGGTGACATACCTCTTATGACTCGTTAATTGATTCTCTAAATATTTGGATTCAAACTTTTTAATTTAACGTCATTCGAATTTTTGACCCACTTTCATGTTAGTTATTTCCAAGTTTCCGATGACTTGTAAAATGGTGACCCAAAATTGGACTTCTATAGTCCACAACTTTTTCAAATTTTATCCGATTTGGAAGTGACATACCTCTTATGAGTCGTTAATTGATTCTCTAAATATCTGCATTCAAAATTTTTAATTTAACGCCATTCGAATTTTTGACCCAATTTCATGTTAGTTATTTCCAAGTTTCCGGTGGCTTATAAAATGGGGACCCAAAATTGGACTTCTAAGTCCATAACTTTTGCAAATTTAATCCGATTTGGAAGTGACACACCTCTTATGACTCGTTAATTGATTCTCTAAATATTTGCATTCAAAATTTTCAATTTAACGTCATTCGAATTTTTGACCCATTTTCATGTTAGTTATTTCCAAGTTTCCGATGACTTGTAAAATGGTGACCCAAAATTGGACTTCTATAGTCCACAACTTTTTCAAATTTTATCCGATTTGGAAGTGACATACCTCTTATGACTCGTTAATTGATTCTCTAAATATTTGCATTAAAAATTATCAATTTAACGTCATTCGAATTTTTGACCCATTTTCATGTTAGTTTTTTCCAAGTTTCCGATGGTTTGTAAAATGGCGACCCTAAACTGGACTTCTATAGTCCATAACTTTTTCAAATTTAATCCGATTTGGAAGTGACATACCTCTTATGACTCGTTAATTGATTCTCTAAATATCTGCATTCAAAATTTTCAATTTAACGTCATTCCCATTTTTATGTTAGTTATTTCCAAGTTTCCGATGACTTAACGTCATTCGAATTTTTGACCCATTCTCATGTTAGTTATTTCCAAGTTTCCGATGACTTGTACAATGGTGACGCAAAATCGGACTTTATAGTCCATAACTTTTTCAAATTTAATCCGATTTGGAAGTGACATACCTCTTATGACTCGTTAATTGATTCTCTAAATATCTCTATTCAAAATTTTTAATTTAAATTGTATTTATTTCTTCACCTTAACAACGATTTTAATTCGTTTTAATTCTTAAAAATCCAATTTCAATGCAAACAATCCAGAGGAGTTAGAGCATCTTATAATTAAGGTCTTTAGATAGTGTTTATTTTCTTTAGATATCTTAAATAATTTGATGCTTGATCTTGTTTGCTTCATGCCTAGGCTTATTTTGCATTTGCCTTTGTTATTCCTTGTTTATTTATTTTCTTTGTATTTTAGCCCATTTAATATTTCACTGCTGGCAAAATAAGAAAACAAAACAAAAGTTGATTTGACGTCGTTGCGTTTTGTTTCTACAGCATTATTTCTTAATAAGCGCCAAGCGGGATTTTCCAGCAGGCTCACCGCGAATTTTCCACCTCCCTTTATACTGTTTTTTTTCCCGAACAATTTGCTCCCCATTGAGGAGGTGGGGGGAGTAGGGAATGAGGGAAAGATAAAGAAAAAATTAAATAATAAGAGTAGAAACTTCAGTCAGATTTTATTACGTAATTGGGTAGCAATTTCTTCACGGCCCAACAACAACAGGGCCCAGAGTTGCCACAGCCACTGAGCACAAATTAAATTTGGCCTTTTCTACGGCCCCCCTCCACTCCTTGTTTCTTTTTTTTATATCTGTCTCTCCTCCATCATTTTCCACGGACAGCCCCCACTAAGTATGCTACAGAAATGCGGCTGCTTCTTTGAGCCGAGATTTTCCGACTTTTCCTTCTTTTTTTTTTACTACGGAACTCAGTCGAGCATTTTCATCTGCTTGTTGCTCGCTTTTCCGTCTCCATTCTCCTTGGCCAGGTTAAATTGAGCATCGCTTGTCCAGTGCGGCCGGTCAAAGGCCAAATGGAAGAAAATTAAAAATTAAGTGCAAAGTTTGCCAAGATTTTGTTGTGCCGAAATAGGCAAAATACCTATAAAAGTCGCCCGCCAGAACAAGATAAAATTTATGCAATGGCAAAAGTTTAATTGCTCAGGCGGTGGGTGCAATTTCATACGACAGGCGGAAAAATAGTACCCGCATATAATAATGCTACATTTAATGGTAACAGACACCCAATTTAATAAGAAATAAATTAAACACTTTCATACAACATAACATAACAACATAATTGTTTATAGCTTGATAGAAAGAAAAGCGATAAGAAAGTTATTGCAAATATAAATACATCTGTATACATTTGTTTACAGGTTAAATATAACATTTTTACTATATCAAAAAAAAGTGTATAAGAAGTTAATTTACTTTGCTTTCAATTCGTTAAAGCGGTTTACTTTTTCACTAAAAATAAAAATGTACTTTAATTTGCTTATAGAATCCTAATTTTGTTTTGACTTCCTCAATCAAAAATTAAGTTTATCATTAACAAAATTCTTAATCATTATATTATTACAGTGCATGGTATCATGCAATTTATTTGCAATTTACTACAGTTGAACCTCCTCTTTCCACATGGAGACAATTTTCTTCTGCACTTTTCTTTTTGTTTTGCACTCATTTTCCACTTTATCAGCGATTTGTGTGGGTCTCCCCGTCCCTTTCTCGCTCTCTGTCTCTGTCTTTTGGTCCTTGGTCCTTGGTCGTTGGTCCTTGGTCCTTGGCGCAGTCAAATCGTTTCGTTTCAATAGAATTTCAATAAATTTATCAACGTGTCGCTCTCGTCTTGGCTACTTCCCCTGCCTCTCCCGCTTTTCTCCATCTTGATGCCATGGATCTCGTCCCCTTTTCCCCCGAAAGCCAGCTTCCTGATGATTTTCCATTTTCATTTGCATCCACCGTCTGGTTGAGCGTCTGCGATTTTTCCTTTTGGCCCGTCGAGCAGAAACGGGCAATCGGTCGTATACTTTATCAGGCGACAGCGCATCGTTTGCATGCCTGCAGTGCGAGTTGTTTTTCCTTGGCCCCCTTTTTGCCCCTCGTTTTCCTTGCTTTTAGCATCACACACCACCCCCCCACCCCCCCATTTCCCTGATTTTTCCTCCCCCACCCCCTGAGCCTGACGCTTC